CTAAGTCCTACGTAGGAGATACTAAGTCCTACGTAGGAGATATTAAGTACCACGTAGGAGATAGTCAGATCAAAAAAATATTTCACCGTGGCCCTACTACGTCCTACGCAGGAGATACTATGTCCGACGTAGGATATACTAAGTCCTACGTAGGAGATACCCACTAAGGAGATACTAACTCCTACGTAGGAGATACCAAGTCCTACGTAGGAGATATTAAGTCCTACGTAGGAGATACTAAGTCCTACGTGGGAGATATTAAGTCCTACGTAGGAGATAGTAAGTCCTACGTAGGAGATACTAAGTCCTACGTAGGAGATATGAAGTACTACGTAGGAGATAGTCAGATCAAAAAAATATTTCACCGTGGCCCTACTACGCTTCCGTAGATACTCAACATTGACGTAAGGCTTTGTAGAGAATCAATATCATTTAACCGCTCCTGTCCCTGGCATCACCTTCACTCCACTCCTCTCCAGGTTCATGACATGAGGTGGAGTTGAACTGGGAATAGCGTAACGTTCCTAAAGACAGAATGCGGTATTACATGCACGGGCGTAGCTACCATTATGAAAAAAAAAGCCCGGACTTACACATGATTTTTGTTATAAAGGTTGGGCAAGCCCTTAATACTATCTAATTATTAAGCTTTGCAACCTATCGGGCTAAAACGAAAAACTTGGCTTGCTACGTGCCTGACATTTCACTGAAGCGTGAGTGACTGATTTTGGTTTTTCGCCGCTTTTCTTTTCATTGCGATTTCCAGCAATATCACGACGGGGGACATCAGAAATGGGCTTCACACATTGTACCTATGTGGAGAATCGAACTCGGGCCTTCAACGTGACGAGCGAACGCTTTAACCACTCGGCTACCCCGCCGTTCTGGCATATTGATAACTGGATAACATTGTAAGCTCGGAATATTTGGGCTCCATTCAATTCTACCGGGACAGATTGTTATTACAAGATTAAGATTCCTATCAGACTATCCATGGGATAGCATTAGTTCATCCGAAACTGTTATTAGGGTCTGAAACAATGTGTTGCAATGGGTTGTGTTGCAGTGTGTAATAATGTCCATTATAATGTATTAGAACATGTCCGTGTTCAGCGCTATAAAAGTGGCCTTATTATTACTATTCAAAAGGCAATAGTTTATGTTGGAGATTAAAGTGTTTCACCGTGAACACAATCTTTTCAATTTTTGATTACTTTGGTCGCTGTTTCCCTGATCATGTATGATTTTCCCTCGTTCTCAAAGTGTTTCCTTTAATATCAAACACCTTTATCATCATGTGATCCTAGTGAATTGGGGGCGGTGGGGTAGCCTAGTGGTTAAAGCGTCCGCTCGTCACGCCGAAGACCCAGGTTCGAATCCCCACATGGGTACAATGTGTGAAGCCCATTTCTGGTGTCCCCCGCCGTGATATTGCTGGAATATTGCTAAAAGCGGCGTAAAACCATACTCACTCACTCACTCCTAGTGAATGGAGTTTTTTTAATATTTTCATATCATATAAAGAGGAAGGCTTTAACTCAGCATTCGTAACTATGCGGATAACCTTTCAGCGGTCAGTAACCAGAAATTAATGACATCTGCTAAACTGAAAATAGCAGTGCCATTTCTTTTTGTTATATTTGTACTGACGATGTTTATATATCCAAGTTTGGGGTAGTATATTTATAAGGCAGAAGTTCAACACATCCCACAGGTTGTACACGAGAGAGTTGATCTCCCATTTAGTGTGATGATCGATTGAGAAAACAGTGAAAATAGCCATGTTTTTTTAAAAAAGACAAATCAAAGTGTTTCACTTATTGAGACTTTGCGGTAGGCTAATGGTTAAAGTGTTCGTTCGTCACGCCGAAGGCCCGGGTTCGATTCCTGACATGGATACAGTGTGCATGTGAAGCCCATTTCTGTTATCCCCCACCGTGATATCGATGGACTATTGATAAAGGCGGCGTAAAACTAAACCCACTCGCTTTTTCAAATATCTAATACCATGTCTCATCTTTCAGGGTATTGTTTGAAGAATGCTAAAAGAGGTGTATTTAATGCCAAGTCACTCATAGCTGCAATATAGATATATTCTACTGAAACTGTTACAGCAGGCGCGGTTTTAAGTAAACTGGTTCAACTGTTGCCTAAAAAGGCCTAAATGTTATTTGTTTTCTAGTTCTTGTTTGTTGTTTAAGGGGAATAACTAGACAAATGACGTCATCATTCATCCATAGGGAATAAGTAGCCTCAGTAACAATAACACATGCAATGAAGTGTCGCTTCCTATTTTCTGTCTCATTTTCTTACAAATTGGTACTGGAATCACATTACATGTTTGACGTGTAGACTGGATTCTGGCTCCAGCTCATGTGCATCAGCATGCGTTAGGACAAGTGTCCCAACGGATATCTATGTAAATTAAAAAATCAGCCATTGGTTAGCTTGTGTTATCTCTCCACGAACAATTAACGGATTATTTCTTTTCACTCAATCATGTTTTCATTGTGTCCATTTTTGTCAACTTGAAGTTGAAGTCAACATGCTTAAAGTCATAAGATGCATAAAACATTTGTCAGGAATTTTGTCTTAGAAATAAGTAGGAATTTGTGCTAGTGTATATTTATGAAAATAAGAACAAAATCGACCCATAATACGACAAGCACTGAAGTCAAATTGTATTGGCCTTATCGTTGAAATTCAAAGGTGAAACATTGACCTGAAAATGAAATGAATTATAATGTGTAAATAATCAAGTGTAAACTGGCTATATTTTGTTTCAGCGGTGTAACTGCCGTCTCTTTGACCACTGATCATCATATAAGATACTGACATTAATGTATAACGCCTTTAAATCACACCTTTATATGTAACAGAGTTAAGGGCACTGTTGTAAGGAAATCATGTTCATTTTTAAGCAACATTATCAACAACGTGCAGTGAGTGAGTGAGTTTAGTTTTACGCCGATTATTCCAGCTACAGGGCGGCTGTGTGTAAATAATCGAGTCAGGACTAGACAATCCATTGATCAACAGCATGAGCATCGATCTAGGCAGTTTGGAACCGAAGACATGTGTCAACCAAGTCAGCGAGCCTGGCCACCCGATCCTGTTAGTCACCTCTTACGACAAGCATGGGTTACTGAATTTCAGTTCTATCCCGGATCTTCACGGGCCTCAACAACGTACAATTATTGCGTGCTTGGCAGTGTTCAAAGCCTCGCAAGACCTTCTATAGACATATATAGTCGTAAATAGTTCGCATTTGGAACAAATCCCACGCCCCCGTCCAGTTCAGTATCACGTCATACGATTAGAAGCTGCAATAAACCGAAATGAAGTTTGAAAACATTTTAATATAATCGATAATTTCTCATGGCCCCAACAGCGTAAAACCTAGGATTGGATTGGCTGCTGGATCAGTGCGTGGTCTGATGCTGGAGCAATAATTCCAACTTTGATTGGAACAACAAGTGAGCACAGCTTTAATTTGATTTCAAATGTTTTGTTCTGTTTTCTGTGTTCCTCTGGCGCCCACACTGAAGTTTATTTCGTTTGCATTTGTTAGGTTTAAACTGTCTGCTTTGAGGACGGAAACGGGGATTGATGCATATACATTATTCATTGTTTGTTTGGTGTAGTCTAGCTATAGGAGGGGCGGCTCGGTAACCTAGTGGTTAAAGCGTTCGCTCGTCACGCCGAAGATTCGGGTTCGATTCCCCACATGGGTACATTGTGTGAAACCCCATTTTTGGTATCCCCCGCCGTGATATTGCTTGAATATTGCTAAAAGTGGCATAAAACTAAACTCACTCTAGCTATACGAATTTAATGCGGACTATCACACACATTGTTTCCATGTGGGGAATTCAAACCGAGTCTTCGGCGTGGCGAACAAACACTTTAACCACTAGGCTACCCCCCACCGCCCAGTTAATGATAATAAAGGGTGGAGAAATATTTAATTCATCTGCAGAAATTTTCTATTTTTATACAAACATTCCAAATTCGGAATGAATGAATGAATGAATGAATGAATGAATGAATAGATTTTAGCTGGTTGGTAACCCTGGATAATACCTGGTGAAATCAGTTGTGCACGACACAGATAAAGAGAATTCAAGTACTCATGGAGCCAGCTCAATAGATAACCCATTTGCAGAGTTTTACCAGTTACCATAACAACAAAGCGCCATCTGTCAGGCATTGTATAAAGACACGGTCAAAGATGGCATTTCTGTGTTCCATCATCACCCTCTATATGTTGGTGCCGTCGGGTTACTCTTTAAGTGAGTGAACGTGTCCTTTGAAAGGTTCGACTGAGAAGACAGACACATTTGAAAGAATATTATAATTATCTTGTTGATTAACATATCCAACACGTACGTGTCAAATAGATCTGGTGTCTTTATAAAACACTTTTAATTTGGTTCAGTCTGTTGTTGTGGAAACACTAAGAAAGAATAGTACTAGTTACTTTGGCACTATGATCTTTTCTTCCTAATAACCTGTGCCCGATCTGACAATAATCTGACAATATGCTTTGAACATTTTGTTTTTCGAAGAACCGTACGTATCATTTCTCCATCAACAATCTCAATGATGAAGTTGTTTCATATGTTTCAGCTGCTCTCAGTGAATAATCACAAGCATAATCTAAAATTAAAATTCATTATTTACTCGGGTATTCATAAAATTAATTTCATACAACCATGTGATCATTAATAATTAAAATTTAAATTCTGTTCATCTGTGTAGCCGCATTCGTTTTTGGATGGTCATTTTTTACTGTACCGCGCACTCTGTTATTCATACGCAAGGTAGATTTTATGTCGTGTGATATTTTTTCATTAAGAAATTATTTCCTATCTGCTTGCTGTTTATGTAATACAAGACTCTTGCATCAGCATTCACACATTGCGGATGTAACGTTCAATTATTTATTATTATTCAGGGTTTACTTTCTGAGCCCCTTCTACCGGTATGCAGTGAAAAGGTGAGTGTCGTCTGCTCGCGGAAGAGGCTCGGGAGGTTTACATTTACGGAAAGTAATTAAGATGCCGAGACAAAAGAAAATTGAACAGGATGTGGGTAGCAGCAATCAAAAGAAGCAGTTTGACGAGAGCGTCAATGCGTCCCCACAAAGTTTAGACAGCAGTCCTATTCGTGGTAAACATTGTTTCTCGAGACGGAAAACTGTTTCCAAAAGTTTGTCCAAAAAGTGCTTCGGTGTATATTTCGATGAGGCAACAACGAAACTTTCAGTCCTTCTTACGACAAACGACGCTTGAGTATCTACATTTCCTTTTGTGTGAGAATGTAGATCAACAGTACTGAAGTCTCAAAATAACATTTGCTCCGAAAGAATGGTCAATTGCTTGGAAACAAACGACCAGACTTAGGCAGCATAACCAACAGAACAGATTGTTTATTAGAATGATTGTATATTGGACATGATAAATGAAAGCAAGATGTATACTTGTATGACTGATTGTTCACATATCTAATTTGTTTTTTCAAAGCTGATGAAACACCTATTATATCAAGAGGTGGCAAGAAAAGGACTGCAGATGGCGAACCTGAAGACTTTGGGTTAGGACAGATTACTTCAAACAATTATTCCTCAAATATCATTTGATAACAATGAAATTTATAGAATTATGTTCACGATGTTACATATGCTTATGTCTAGCCTGTGAAATGAAATAAGAAATATGTGACATTGCCTGATTTTAAGCATTAGGTGAATAGATTGGGTAGTAAAGGTGAGGGAAACACACACCTTGTGTGTGGTTTATGAAGGGGTTCTCTTTGATTTCCTCAGAGACCATATATCGGTATATGGTTTCTTATTTCCTACTGTCCTACCATAGTGGTTGTCATGTATTATATGGTCATTCACTCATTACGTTCGCAGGTCAGAGATGCAGAAAATGTTGGAGTGCTTTGGAGGTATGTTTGAGATGTATGACATCAAGTTCCCTCAGCAAGAAATAAATTGGCAAAAAGAGGTTAAATATTTATCTACATACTTGAAATTCTACAGTCAAGTACCCTGCTTGTGATTCTCATTTTGTTTCGAAACTACAATAAAAATAGACCAAGATAAAAGGTGTTGAGGCTGATAGCCCTATGATGTATACTGATAAATTTGGCAGTCAGCACACATTTGATGAGAACCATGTTTTGTTGTGTATGAAATATCATAAATGCAGGTATTGTATCAAGTTTTTACCCTCTTGATAAAAAACTAATAATATAATATATTATCTGTTCTTTGCCTGTGTTATGTGTTTGTGTAGTTGTATCATTTCCAATTACAGCTGACATCTCAAAGACGCTTGTTGCCAAAAGACGAAGACTTGAGCAACTGACTCAGGTCTCCTTGAGGAGCACAAATAAAAAAGGTTGATGACATTTGGAAGGCCCAACAAACAGAAAGGTATCATTTCCTTTTGGGATTATTTGTATTTTTTCAATAAGACTTCTAACCATACGATTCTTCATTTGTAAACAGCACATTACCTGTAAAGGTGAAAGGTCATGATGTAGAAATATTGAACTAACAAACCCAAACTATAGTTTAAAATAAACATTAATTTGTTTTAAACAGATTGACCACCCTGTCAAAATGGAATCAAAGCATTCATAACAAAAATGTTTTGCACTGAGTTATAGTATTCTGTTGTATCAATTCATTTATAGGTACACATAAGACAATTTATCAATGAAAACCATAAATATTCTCGTTTTTGATACAAAAACTATGCATGGATGCAGTCCTTCACGTGCCAGACGAAACTAGATATTTTACATACTCTTCCTTCAATGTCTTATAGATTAATCTTTTTTTACAGTTTTCTCTTTAATGAAGAATGTCTTGCTTACAATACTTCTGACATAATTATTTCTTGTGAATTGTTTTCAGACATAAGTTGCAAGGTGAATATGCAAGACAAATTGGGACAGTTTTCACCCAGTGGGAGTCGGACATTGACAAAACCAAGGAACAAGAAGAAAAATTAGCAGTTGAGTCAATCACTGTTTACACAATACTGGCTGAAACTGGCCTTGTTTAGTGATTTGACTGTAACCTTTCACACAGATATATAGGAAATGTACGATTCTGGGGAAATAATTACTAAAGAGATGTTTGATAGGCATTTAGAAGTTGGTAGGGTAATACAACACACTTGATATGGATGTGCAACTTCTTTATTATTTACACACGACGTTTCTGGGCTAATACCTACCCCTTCATCAGGTGAATCACGACGTTTCTGGGCTAATACTTGCCCCTTCATCAGGTGATTCACCTGATGAAGGGGCAAGTATTAGCCCAGAAACGTCATGTGTAAATAAGAAAGAAGTTGCACATACTAAAGAATTTCATCTCCCTCATCTACAACATGTATTGGCCAGAGTAAAAAAGTTAAAATATATAAGCACACTGACTTGAGCTGGGATTTACCAAAATCTCAGTAATAGAATAGTATACTTATCTTCAGCATACACATTCAAACTCACAGTTCTAATTTAATTCCATATAATATAATCAGGGCTGAACCCTTAAAAGAGCCATGATCATACATTGTTCCTGGGCAATCCTCGAACAGATGATGTAGCTTTAGAGTTCCTTGATGAGTTTAAAAGTTGTAAACCATAAACATGTTCTATTATACATTTTGTATAACTAGACCCCCAAGCATTTCTTCAGTTCAGTTAGTATTTCTAGTATCTGTCCTTTTCTGAAAAGTAATGGCCAGTATCTTGTGTGAATTTGGATGGGGATACTACACCATTAGGGTAATTGTATTTGCTTTATGTAAATGAAAAGTAAACAGGTTTAGTAAACCAGCAGCTTTTCTTTGCAAAGAGCTGAGACCTCAGTATCCTTAGAAATAAGGATGTTTGGGAGGATAACCTAGATAACACTATTTTTGTTTGAAAATGTCTTTCATAACTTTATTGATATCAGTATTATAAGATATCAGAATCTGTTTAAATCAGTCAATATTTTGTTTTTTGAAGACACTCTTCAAGCAGCAGCAGAAACTGTTCCAGCAAGCACGTATAGTGCAGAATCAGAGACTGAAGACTTTGAAGCAGTTACATGAACAGTTCTCAAGAGTAAGATCAATTTTATAATAGGGCTGGATATTGCCCTGATTCTCATATTGCGATATTAGGGCTGCGCAATGTAACCGGTTTACCAGTATTTACCGGTTCAGGCATGAAAACGATACGTATTGCGATACGCTGATCGAAAAACGGTATTTTGACTTGCATTCGGAAAACTCCGAAACACTCGGAAATCTTCGGATATTTCCTTTTTTCAATTGTGCCAAATATTATTCACATTTTTATTTTTAATCATGAATAAAAGTTGTTATTAAAGCTTAATCAAGCATAGTGATATTGCTGTGTATTTGCTCTATAAATCAAGCATTACCTCGATTATAAGTAGTTTTTTGTTTAAAAATACTTCATGCAATATATTGCAATACATGCTTTCGCATCGCAAAATTCTCTGCAATACCCACCTATGCGATATATTGCAATAATTTAAGAGATATTGCAATATATATTGTGATACATTGAATGGAAGGTTTCTGCCCAAGTGCGTACAACATAAATTCATAATTGCTCTCTGTGTGCTGACACTATCTTCTTAGTTGCTGTTACACCATTTCTTCAGGCTCCCAGTCCTCATTGTGCATGGCTGTATGCCAATGGTTTACAGATAAATAAAATTATATAGAACATTAATGTGGAATGTTTAATTGAGGTATTGCAACAAAGGTTTGAGACCATAATGATAAAGTATAGTAACATAAGTTTCATGGTCAGTGCTTCAACAGAATGCACTTCAATGCCGTTTGTAATTATTGTCACTGTATGTCAGTGATTGATTCAGATTCAACTCCAATATAAACATGTGTTAACATGAACTATTGCAAAATGAAACAAAAACAAGATTAAGGGGAACTACTGGAACTTAAACATCCAATGTAACCTCAAATAACTAAGATCCTTGACGAGTATGTCATTATACAGTTAGTAAGACTTAGACCTTTATGATAAATTGATAACACATGTCTTATTATGAAACAAACAAAAATAACAAAATAATGGGAATTTTGAAATGGTCACTCAGAGCCAGAGCCTCTACTGATAAGTTCAAATAAAGAATTGGTCCATTTGAGGCCACTTAATTCCTCCAAAATGTCACATATGAAACCATTCAAACCGTAAAAGCGTGAAGCATTTGGTAGAATATTTGGCACTTTTGGAGCCACTTATAAAGATACTCCCATTTGTACAATGTTACATGAAACCAACAGGAATAAAAGAATATTTGGCACTTTTAGAGCACATTTTTTTGGCTTTGGAAATCAAAGGCAGATAATACAAAGGGAGCTAACTCTGGATGACCCAATATATTGCAGAATCTGAACCATATCGCAATGATCACATCATGAGATACTGTACTGGTATATATTACTAGTTTACCGGTAATATTGAACAGCCCTACTTTATAACATCATGTATTACAGCCCCTGCAGCCCCTAGATGCTGGGATTATCCAGTCATTCAAGGCACATTACAGGAGACATCAGCTCAATCACCTTATGATTACATCATGCTCAGAAAGGCCTCTAACTGTCCAACCTAGTTATAATGCCAACCCATATATAATGTCATATTTTCTCCTGGACAAATGGTGGCATTATAACCAGGGTATTAAAAGGGCAGGAAATCTGTTCTGGCCAAAACATGGCATAATATCCAGGGTGGATTTATAACCATGGTGCACTGTATATCTTGTGTTGTAATATTTCCAGTCATCTGTTGTTGTGCAAGTGAACCTTATGATGTCTGTTCACTATACAGTCGTCCCTGCTTCGGAAGTCCAAGTTAGAATTGGTCCTCAAGAACCTGTGATAACTGTAAGAGATGTCTTTACGAACCCTGCAGCTAGATTTGCTGCCTTCTTTGATAGCGTGTCATCATACCCCATTGTTACTCATAATATCAGTCAATAGATTGCCTTGTTGAGACTTTATACAACTGATAGCTGCTGTTAAATAGCTGGAATATTGTTTTGTGTAGCCTTAAACAAAGATGAAAAAAGATCATGTTCAGTTTCACTTAGTACTGTGGTACCTGATAATTTGTTCTCATACATACCGGTATCACTTTCATAGTGTTTATATACTAGTGTGTTAAGCATGCAAGTGTGATCTGTATAAAAAATGTATCCTGGTTTCATTTGGTGCATAGTAGAGAACACTTTAATGTGGTCTACATCTAGTGAGTGAAATGATGTTTCTAACTTGAGAACATATTCAACAGGGGTTAGAAGAGCTGGAGCAGTGTCACATCAATCAACAAAACAATGTACAGAGTGAAATGAAGAAAGAAATGGCACTTCTTCAGAAGAAACTTCTCATGGACACTGTAAGTTCAAATACTGAAAACTGTTCAGTTAACACAAAAACGTCTGTTTGGTCCAACATATTGGTCCAATATATTCAGGACTGTGGTATTTTTACATTTTCATGTGTATTTTTGGTATGTAAACATTTTACCATTCTTGTTCAGATGATATAAATATGCTGATTTCAACTATTTGTAATAGCAAAACCATCTGGAAAGCCCAATCACTTCATTTTGGGAATTTATTGGACATTCCTCTTCAAAGCTATACTGTCCATTAGGGCTCCAGATCAATTACCAACATAACAAATAGCAAACAAATATTAAGATAATAATAATAATGAGAATATTTATAACGCGCCTTTTCCAAGCTAAATATCCTGCTCAAAGCGCAAAATCTGATCATTATTACCCCGGATAAGATCTGGACAATGTGTGTCTACCAGCTTTTTATTTCAAAAGTGAAGCAAAAGTGTCCTCCAACCCATATCAGAACAAAAACATGACTTTGTTATAACCTAATGGACACAATTGCCTTGTGAAGACGACTTCTGCTGTGCCCCATGATAAAAATCTGTACCATTATGAAGCTCTGCCTGATGTCAGTCCTAGAGTGTATGTTTCTAAAACAGGTCTGCTAACAAAATGCCATTGATATTCCATATCTGTTTTCAGCAACAGCAAGAAATGGCCAACGTGCGGAAATCCTTGCAGACCATGCTATTCTAATGATAAAGTCAGGGTACTAGCAGTCAACTACAATTTGCAGATAATAAAATAAATCCTGTAACATTGATGATAGCAGTTTGATGTTTTATGGTGTGGGGAATTGTTTTCCCATTTTTAATAGTTCATGGTCATATTGCAAGTATGATTACGTGCTCAGGGTATTTTGTCTTCCTACATTGTGAATTATGTACCTTTAATTCATTGATCATTAGCCTGTTGTGTGATGCATCTTTCCGTGATTAAAACTGTTGAATTTTATATTCGTGTCATTTGCATTCATTTCCAAACTTGAGCAGACAGGTCTGTTATCAAGTAATATTTGTTTGAACAAAACCCAAGTTCTATGGATAGTCAACTTCTTTATTGCAGTGAGTGAGACGTTTCGGTGTAGGTACTAACACCGTTATCAAGCAAGTGATCACCAAGTTCTATGGACAGTCAAATTCTTTGTGATGAGTGAGACGTTTCGGTCTAAGTACTCACACAGCTATCAAGCAAGTGATCACTGCTTGCTGAAGGGATTAACTCGGAATTTTTTTGGCTGCTTCATTGGCACCTAACTTTGGGCTGAGGATGTTCATGTAAATTTGAGCAAAATAAGTCTCAGTACCTTGCTTTGCAGCTCGGGATGTGCCTTATGTTGACGGGAATATTATGGTCACTACAATTACAAAGAGGTGCTTTCAAGATCTGAAAGGGGGCGCAAGTGCTAATGAGTTGGGTTAACCTATCCTGACCGTGATACACTAAGGATCAAAGAAGACAGATCTTGAAGCGATAGGCAGAGTCTCAGACACAGTAAACTGCACCTGGTAAACTGCACTCTTGCCAAGGTGGTGGGGATCATAATGTTTCGTCTGGTTCAAATTACTTAGTACTGCCATTTAATACACTACAGTATGGTAACACAATAAACTGGATCACAGTGATTTTATTGAGTCAAATTAATTTGGGATATTTTCATGAATTTAGCACATTGTTTTATCAATTGGCGAAATACCATGACATACTGATTTAAAATTAAATGGTTCGTTTGTACATTCATGAAAACACATTATCCTATATATTATCCTATATCATATTCATTACATGGAAGTTATTCTGATAATCAAATCACATATCAATACAACATGAACCACATACAACTTCAGCGCTTGATGCTCAGTATGTTTCATTATTGATGTGATCGTGTGAAGTATTTTAATGAGTAAGAAATGTCGTACATCTGTAACCGTTTATGCGAATGCTAAAAGATTAGGACCAATCGGTTCTCCTCCGAAATTCATGTCCTTTCATGTCCGCGATTTGGACGGTTTCCCTGCCAACCGACAGGTACGTAGATTACCATACAAAATAGAGTTACTTCCCCGGACGGAAGTTCATGTTGAACACGCGTTTGTTTAGAAATGGCGGCCACCACAGCACAACAGGCACAGAATATAATCGACGATAAAACATTAGTCGAAGAGGTAAGTTGACTGGGTGACTGTTGAACGAGTAACTAAATATCTTATGAGCTATCTAGATATTAGACTTGAGGTTACGTGAAGATACAGTATCTAATATATAGAGAAGTTCTGTGCTCAACTTTGACATTTTCACTTGAACTTAAAGATGATCACCAAAATACTGTCAGTAGAAATGTGGGTTGGTGTTGGTCTGTGCATGTATGAAAGTGCGCAAATGAAGTAAAATGTTGAATGTGTACAAGCCCTTTGTCAATTGACAGCTTACAGACTGTCTTCCTTGCATGGTGTTTACATGGTTTATAACATGGTCTCGGATGTGACGACAAGTTCACCTTCAGCAGTGATTTGGATGGAATTCTTTTCTGTGAGTCCCAAACATTCCTATTCAGCGGTGATGTAGATGGAATTCTTTTCTTTGGATGCCAAACATTCTCAATAACCCACAAATAATTATTGATGTTTGTTTAATTCAGCAGTCATTTACCATGTCACCGGTACTGACCATCCAGTTCATTCAATCATTTACTTTTAATATTACACATGTCAGGTCATTATGATAACACCATTATGTTCACCTTGTTAACAGGAACTCTGGGATGAGCTTGAAAATGAAGAAATACCAGCCGATATTAGAGAGGCACGACTGGCAGCTTTCAAGAAACAATCCCAAGACTATGCCATGATGAGAGACAAGCAACATGGCTCATTTACGTAAGTTAGTGGTTAAATTTGTGTTGACATTTTCTTATAAACCAATAATTTCCCAACATCTCTATGTTCTATTTCAAAGGTTGTGTTTCAGAGATGTTGCTGTCCACATAGTCATGGTTCATAATTTCATTATCATGATTACGGCTTGACTTTTTCAAAATTGCACACCAGAAGCAGTGTTCAAAATTAAGAGATTAATTATGTTTTGAAATATAAAATGTAAATGAAATATAGAATATGTCAGTAACAGTGAAGCTAAAAAGGTGCTAAGTGTAGTAATTTCAAATATGGCTTATTTTTCTTGCTCAATGTTGTTTTGAAAGGGAGCTGACTGATGAGAAGGCTTTCCTTGAACTGACTACCACAGTAGACCGTTGTGTTGTCCACTTCTATCATGCAGACTTCCGCAGATGTGCAATAATTGACCAACATTTAGAGGTAAGATTAACAATTAAAGCAAGTATTCTAGATTTTTAACATTGAAACATGTATCAAGCTTATATGGCAACTTGATGTGCATATTTCAGTTATTACTGAAAATCAGTGTTACTGTTCTAGACAATCTTTATCTGTGTTGAGCTGGTAATTAGTAAAATACATCCTTTGTTCTCTTTTGTAATGGATGAGCGAACAGTAAGAAAAGAAATGTTCAATTGATACCATTGCTTGTTACAGACCACTAGTATAAGCATGACAGTTATCCATAGAACTAAATGTAGTTTGAAATGTTCTTATTTCATTGTGGCAGGTAAGGGGTTAAAGAATTTGCAAGTCACACTGAAGGCCCCAGTTCAATTCCATACATGGTCTCATGTTGTGAAGCCCATGTCTTGTGTCTACAATATAGCTAAAAGTAACATAAAGCCATTTTGCTTCTTATTTCAACTACATCTTTGTTTTATGTTTGACGATATCCCGAAATAGCCTTCAATCTTTATCATCACCAAGGTAGCCTGTTACACCAGAAAAATATTTGGTCTGGCATTACTAGACACAAAGTAATTTAGGTGCTAGTTCCTATTCTTGATCTATCACTTGTGTGTGAAATTTTAACATCAGCGTTGTTTTACAGGTTCTGGCCAAGAAGTACTTTGAGACCAAGTTTGCTAAGCTGAATGTGGATGTCGCCAAGTTCCTGGTGGAAAGGTTGAAGATCCGAGTACTTCCAGCTGTTTACTGCTTCAAGAAGGGCATCATAGTAGACAGGTGAGTGGCAAGAAAGTGGAACACACATCCTGCTTGTACTAAAATACTGCAAATTGTAGAGATCTACCATATTGCAGCATCATTAATTTTCATTACAGTAATCTTATAGAACCATGTAGCTACATGTAGATCATCGTGATGAATGTAGGTTGTCTGTGTCAATTGCCATTATCTGTTTATAGACTCAACAGCATGACTTTCAGTAGCTAGTTTAAAAACTGGTTTCATTTGGTGTGGAAAATGTGTGTCCAGGGTTGGGGCAGATTTGTCCTGAACTAAGTCAAGGCCTTTCCATGGATTTCTCAAGGCACTTCTAGTCAAATTCAAGGCAAATGTCATCACTCTTTAAATTATATCCATTGTAAGAACACTCTTAATTGAAGCAGACATCATGTCAACGAGGTATGCAAAATCAGCTGCAAAGTTTTAATTACTCGTTATGATCATGTGGCATCGTTGAACTTTCTTGGACATAATCAAGCATGTTTGTATTTCACATGCAAATAGTTGTAAAACTGTTGATGTGTAGTTAAACATGGAACAGTCATGTATATTTTCAAGGTCTTTTCACAGGAAAATGAAAATTTCAGACCTTCCTATAAGTATAATCATCTGTAAAAGCCTTTTTCAAACCCCATGCTTACCCTGTTGTTGCAGTTTGATTGGTGATTCAGATGCATTAATGATGATGATATTTAATTTCTTTGATAGTTGACAGAATTTCATGTCGAGATTTCCAAATGGGCATTTTTTGATATCAAAATACGTCATATTTTCATATATCTAATGGTTTGATGGAGAAGGGTTTTGATGTTCCACCAAGTACCAGGGGTTTGGAGTGGGTGTGCGTGTGTGTGGTTTAGTCATATACATTGAATTGCTACTTTTGTGCTGAAAAATATGACTTGACTAGTGTGCATATATGTTCATGAAAATGGTGTGATTGTATGATCATCGATCATAGATTATGTTGATAAAATAATTGTGGTGGTAAGCCATGAAACTGCTAAACACCACAGACAAGTTTGCTGGTTACAGTACTAAATCAGATCAAAATATAATTCAGTTTAGTTCTTGCTGGTAATGTAAGTCGGCCTGAAACTCATTGATTTAGAGTGTGAACAGGTGCTTGACAAATGCTATTTCCTATCAGCTTCCTATTGATTTCCAGGGTATGTACATATGAACAAATATGAATAATGAAGGCATCTGAGGAAATTTGATAGAAACAGTGTGCACTTTAAATATGATCATTTCATGTGAACTTTCACAGTAATGGACACATGTGTCTTGACAAACCTTAGTGGGGTAGCCTAGTGGTTAAAGTGTTCGCTCATCACACCAAGGACCTCAGTTCGATTCCCCATATGGGTACAATGTGGGAATCCCATTGCTGGCATCACCTGCCGTGATATTGCTGGAAAATTTCTAAAAGCAGCATAAAACTTAACTCACTCAGAATGTTATTTCTCTTTTCCGAAAGATAAGTTCCGTAGTTGTATTATTTTGTTTATGTTTGAGATCTATACATGTTGAGTGGGCCATGTCTGTATGACATATGGATATACACAGGTGCCTTTCAACACATATTTTTCTGTTGTTTACAGGGTTATTGGGTTTGAAGAGCTTGGCAGCAGTGATACGTTCATGACTGAAGTCTTGGAGAGTCGTCTGGGAAAGTCAGGTAACCAGTTTCTACCACACATACTCCAGAAGTGTTTTCTCCTAAATTGATTTGTAATAGTTTATTTGCAATATATTTTTATTTTTTAATTACCAAGTAAAATTTGGGAAGAAACCCCAAATGTTGGTATATCTGTAAACAAGACTAAAATTTTGTTCTTTAACAAAGTCTTCCCAAAATTAGGAAAATGAAACAAACTTTGCAGTTCACCGCTTCTTTAAGTTTGAAAACAACCCAACCAAATTTCCTCATTTTATTGGTTATACAAAGAAGAATATGAATAGACACATGGAAATCCTTTGTAATACTGTATACATCCCAAACTAAGAAAATTGGTTGTATGAAAAGGAGACTTCAAATATATTACAATGTATATTGCAGTCAGTACAATGTACATGAATCCTGTGAAAAAATGATTGGTGGTATGAATGTTGTGCTTTAATTGTTAATTCACACAGTTATTTTAGATTTTCCTTTTACAGGTGTGATAGATGTACCTGAGGACCAGGATATTTCAAAGAAAACCATATTTGGAGCCCGATCAGTGGGTAAAAATCCTGGTGATGATGACAGCAGCGATGATGACTACTGAGCTTATGGACTTATTTGATGCATTTTATACACATATTTTTTATTATTTATTACATTTACTACCATTAAAGTTATCTTACACTTTCAGTTTTGTGTTTCTGTAATGATGTAGGAGATGATCAAAATTAGGGCTCTATTCCTGTGTTGGTAATATTTGATGTTAGGACTACCGAGTATTCGATAACTGGTCATTATGTCATTTGTTTCAAATGTATAAGATTTCGGTGCTTTAAATACTGACTAACGCGTTCGTTTTGTAAATGACATTTTGCGGTCTTAAATCAATGATAAAGGACCGCACAATTGAAAACAGAATAGCTTTATCTTCTAAATAACATCTGCCCTGCATGGTCTAGCAGATACAGTGTTTGCCAAAAGAGTTTAAGATCAGTGGTTCGACACTGGCCATGTCATACCAAGATATCCAGGTTATAATTGATCTTCAGTAACCCATCCGTGCCATAAGACTAACAGGATCGGGTGCAGTGTTTGCCCTTAACCCTGAAAAGCTACAGGCCCTAAGGACCCAGACCCATAAAAAAGGTGTGGGTCCTGATGAGAATATGTGAGCCCAATATTTTAGCTACAATATAAGTAATTCCCAGCAAACAAAAAATGTGACAACTAACAGAGTTAAAGAGTTTAATTTAACTCTAGTGACTGACTTGTCTTCATTTACAAAACCATGTATCGTCTACCATTATAAATGAACTGGAAGCAATTGCCTGTCAGTGTATAGAGTTTGCAATGCATTCGGATAACGTGTTCTAGGTTAAAAGATCATATCTGAACTGCTTCCTCGAAAATGATAGTCGTTTAACTTACAGACAACAGTTGCTGATTGAGATAAAAGTGGTGATTATCAGAATTGGATCTAACTGGGTAACTGGATGACTTCGTTGATTATTTGTCTTCCTATGGAGGGTGTGGATGTTTACGCATATGATCAAATGCTGAATTGTGTCCTCCACACTTAATTACTGTTTCCGAAGGTTGTCATCATATTAGAATACAGCAGAGCTGCTGCATCAAAGAACAAACAAACCTGTATCAGTTACAATCATCAGCACTGACAGTAATTCCTTTCTGTCACAAATGGGAGAACATTGAAAGGGGGCTTGCAAAGGGCACATTATCATTATCTACAAATGGGAGAACATTGTCATTTTTTCAAAATGAAATTCAGTCCCTCCAAAACCACGTCATCAATCAAATCAATTGGGTTATTTTTGTGTTGATTAAGACAGCGGTTTTACACTTTCACACAGAGAATGCCTAAATTTCAGACAAAGCACACATTCAATGTCTAAGCTTTGGCCTAAACTGGATACCAGATTGTAGATTACCACCTCCCTTGTCTGTGCCCGAGAAAGACCTTCAGCGCCAATCGTAATGATTTTACCTGGACTTCAGTTACAGAGCCTTTAACACTTCGATAAACCAACAAAACATGTACATGTTGCTGACTATCAAGGATCGTTATTGGTGTGAATCAGGATAACTCAAGCAGACCATTGGTGCCTTGGTCTCATGTGAACATGTCCATACTGCCTATATGTTTTAGGGGATACATGTATATCGTTTGTTTCAAGAGTAGAAAGTCGGTGGTACAATTTTCTGAAAAGTTGGTACTTGGTGTTACCCTGATGTTGAATACACAGTTCTCATAAGATAACATAGTGTTACATCAGCACAAGACCTCATCGGCAATATACAAATAACACTGACAATCGATAACTTCATTCGCTTGAATAGATTCATATTTCTCTCTTTCAACTTGATGTGACAAGGCAATAGTCTTGCGAATAGTGACAATTTTGGAACTGCCCATAATAGAGCGTTACGGAAATCTTATGAAGCCTGACTATGTATGGCGCGCATCTTCTCTCTGCGTCCGTTAAACAAATTCCATATATACCCTGCCAGAACTCAGAACGAGAAAAGATTTGAGAACACCATGTATGATTATAATTAATAATTTCGCATCCTGCTCAAAGTACTGAAACACATTTTGAACATTGAGGAAAAAACGTAAGTATCGAAACGAGCATAAAAGAGCTCACCTCCTTGGCGAGGGACCAAATGTGCTGGTTTTTCTTACTGCTCGGATTTGCCGCCTTTATGGCATTCCTGGATGTGTGTACTGTTGGTGATTTTTTTTGAGAATTGTTTATCCATCTGTGATTTGGATTCCCTAGTTCCAAACGTACTGTTTTGAATGGCTTCTACTTTTGTCAAGTCGCCTACACAAGAACTGGGGAAGCTTGCTTTTTCTGTCAACCACATGCAAGATCTCAGGGTTTCACTTTGATCAATTTGTCCGGTAAAATGAAGCTGAAATGGTCGTTGTCTGCACGGGTACTACAGATATGTATCCCAGCCAAAATCAGAATACATAAACGAACCCTAGGGCGAGTCAATTCCGAACCGTTTTCTTGATCGAAACTATTGTACTAAATGCATTCGATCGTATTCCATTATACATGTATCTGAAACAAGCGTAAAGGGAACTATAACATGGTTCTATAACCTTGGGAAAGGGAACTAAAGTACTGTCGGAAATGCTAGAAAAATGCTTTTTAGCCTTGATATCTTTAGAAAGGTGATAAATGTACTCTGTTGTCAATATATCAACTCACCTATAGTGTACCTAATTTTTATTTCAATTGATTTAACATTCCCATGCATTTAAAGGGCAGTTTACAGGAGAGAATTTGGTACCAAAACAACAACTTCAGATTTTTTCGGAGTTCAACAAGAGAAATCTGAAATAGTCTTTACATTTATGCTAATAATACAGGTGGTGTAAAAATATAAATTAACGTTTTTCTTAAACAAATAAATGTTGAATGTCTGTGTTACTTTACTAAATTATTGTTTCTTTATTGAAGAAATATTAATATAAATGTTAAGTCTTGATAAATAAGTTTCCCGTCATGCATGCACATCTTTATCACAGAGTCCACTATGGCCAACTATTTGCAGACGATTGTTGCAAAGGTTTATAAGTGTTTGTGCTTGAAAAAAGACAGAGGAAAACCTTTCATTAGTATAGAAATGGTTCATTACAGAACTTGTAGAGCTGTTGGTATGTCTTACCAACAAGTTTACAATATTGTAAACAAATCAGACAAGACAGGGGCCGTCTCAAAAGCAAAACCGGGACGTAAAACCATCCTTGACAACTGTGACAAGGGAGTACTTAGACGGGCGGTCTACAAACTTTAGGAGATGAAGAATATATATATTCTAAAGAAGCTACACCAGTGACTTCGTGAAATCTTTGGCCACTGTTCACAACTAGATTAAACTGACCGAATTACATCCATATTTTTGCAATGACATATACTGTTGACATGCAAAACATTTATTAAAACGTTGCACATTTCTACAATCAATCGATAAGATAACACAAGTGATAGGATTCTTTCCAATGTACAGTAATTCGAATGTTTTTTTTCACAACAAACACACATACACAAATGATCCCTTACATAACCAATACGTATACTATACGTACACATATTCAACATTTTGAAGAAAACATCTATTGAGATGACCCCTCGCCCGAGCTTGTGCTCAGGTGTCAATTTCACTTGTCGATACCGTGCATGCTGATGACGTAACACAGACAGTTCATGTTTGTATCAAATAACGTCCCACTACCGCTTATTTTTCTAAGTTTTTGGCATTTTCATCAGTAAAAACGCATTTTAGGGCATGTTTCAAAATTTATTCCCTCGGTCTACATTAGGTAGATGTTTCTTAAAGTGATATTTGTTATTTAAGTAACTGTAATACCTCTGAATTTGAAATATAAGTCAAAAAGCATTTTTCTAGCATTTCCGACAGTACTTTAAAACATGAACCGGTTTCGGATTTGACTTTAGAAACATGGACTCGGAGAGAGACTCTACAGAAACATACCTGGGGTATAAATATCTATATAGTACCCGTGCTGACGACCCCTTCAGCCACAACAAAGTCTAGTCAGAAACCATATTTGGCAGTTAAATGACATTAATGTCATATTTTCCTTTCTGCACGACTGGAACATATGTGTCTTAAATTAGCTACAAACACATATTGTCAGGTCTTCTACTGAATTCGACCCCATGAACCAAATAGAGGACCGGGTGAGTGAATTTAGTTTTACGCCGCACTCAGCAATGTTCCAGTTACATGGCGGCGGTCTGTAAATAATCGAGTCTGGACCAGACAATCCAGTGATCAACAGCATGAGCATCGATCTGCGCAATTGGGAACCGATGGCATGTGTCAACCAAGTCAGCGGGCCTGACCATCCGATCCCGTTAGACGCCTCTTACGACAAGCATGGGTTACTGAAGATCAATATTCTAACTCGGACCTTCACGGGTCACCAAATAGAGGAAGGCATCCTAATATGTATGAAGCCCATACGAGGTTCGATCCTCAATTAGAGACCTGTGTCTCTCAAACCCTGAACTTCAAAATACAATACATGTACATGTGTGTGGTCAAAGGGAAGTAATCGTGTTTGCACAAGAGTTATCTCCCTTGTTAAAGCTCCGCACAACGTTTCTCTTAAAACTTCACACGTGGCGTGTACCTTCAATCAAAGGGACATAACCCGTACAACAAAATCAAGAGTTATGTCCCTTATCACAAAGGGAAGTAACCGTTTAGCAAATGGTAAATCAGATGTACAGTTACTTCCCTTTGACCATAAACCAGTACGGCTCTTCAAAATCCATTGTGTCCGATGTATTATCGAGGTAAGCCACCGTAAGGGACTATGGCAGCTGGATCAGCATGACACTAAAATCGTTCGTTCTCGGCCCATGAAATAACACCCGTGTTCAATTAGCATATTTTCCGTTCACTACGCAACACATGTAGAAGTGCATGAAACCATTGGAGTTGTCTCCCTTAGACCAGTAACCCAACAGACTCCACCAGTGAGCGACACTGTCTTTTTTACAAATCAGAATTATTAAGTGCTCGTTCGTTTTTTGTTTAACAGCGATTTTCAATATGGCGGAATACTTTGCCAGCCTTTGTAATATTGCCACCATATTTAAATAATATACCTTGTACTTTGACGAAATCACAAAGCATGGGAATTTATGGACAAGTTACCATTCTTTTCGTGCATGTTGTAAACTATGATTATAATTAACTATAATTATCAGTGGTGATAATTAACACAACAAAGGTGGAAATTAATAAATTAATGTAGAAGCTGAACAAAATTCTTGTTTACATACATGTGTACATGGTGTAAATGAAATATAGAATAGGGCAGTAAAGTGAAGCTAAAGGTGCTATGTGTAGTAATTTCAAATATGGCTTATTTCCCTTGCTCAATGTTGTTTTGAATGGGAGCTGACTGATGAGAAGGCTTTCCTTGAACTGGGTACCGCAGTAGACCGTTGTGTTGTCCACTTCTATCATGCAGACTTCTGCAGATGTGCAATAATTGACCAACATTTAGAGGTAAGATTAACAATTAAAGCAAGTATTCTAGATTTTTAACAAGTTCACAGGACAACTTGATTTGCATGTTTCAGTTATTACTGGAAATCAATGTTACTGTTTTGGACAACATTTACTCCTCGATGTTAACCTTAAATCTAAATTCTAACTTGTGTTGAGCTGGTAATTAGTAAATAAATCCTTTGTTCTCTTTTTTTAATGTATGAGCCAACAGTGAGAAAAGAAATGTTCAATTAATACCATTGCTTGTTAGTATATAATGTTACAGACCACTAGTATAAGCACCACGGTTATCCATCGAACTAAATGTAGTTTGAAATATTCTTAGTTCATTGTGACGGTGGGGCAGGTGAGAGGTTTAAGCATTTGCTAGTCACACTGAAGGCCCCAGTTCAATTCCCAACATGGTGTCATGTTGTGAAGCCCATGCCTGGTGTATTGCTACAATATTGCTAAAAGTAACATAAAGTTTCTTATTTCAAGTATATCTGTGCTTTATGTTTGACCGATATCCAGAAATAGACTTCTTTATAATCACCAAGGTAGCATGTTAAACAAGAAAACAATTGGGTCTGGCATTACTAGACATGAAGTCATTTTAGGTGCAGTTTCTATTCTTGATCTATCACTTGTGTGTGAAGTTTTAACATCAGCGTTATTTTTCAGGTTCTGGCCAGGAGTACTTTGAGACCAAGTTTGCTAAGCTGAATGTAGATGTTGCCAGGTACCTGCTGGAAAGGTTGAAGATCCAAGTTCTTCCAGCTGTTTACTGCTTCAAGAAGGGCATCATAGTAGACAGGTGAGTGGCAAGAAAGTGGAACACACCCTGCTTGTACTAAAATACGGCAAATTGTGGAGATCTACCATATTGCAGCATCATTAATTTTCATTACAGGAATCTTATAGAACCTTGTTGAGCTACATGTAGATCATCGTGATGAATGTAGGTTGTCTGTGTCAATTGCCATTATCTGTTTATAGACTCACAATAGCATGACTCTTAGTAGCTAGTTTAAAAACTGGTTTCATTTGGTGTGGAAAATGTGTGTCCAGGGTTGGGGCAGATTTGTCCTGAACTAAGTCAAGGCCTTTCCATGGATTTCTCAAGGCACTTGTAGTCAAACTCAAGGCAAAGGTCATCCCTGTTTAAATCACATTCATTTGTAAGAACACTCTTCATTGAAGCAGACATCATGCCAACGAGGTATGCAAAATCAGCTGCAAAGTTTTAATTACTTGTTATGATCATGTGGCATTGTTGAACTTTCTTGGACATAATCAAGCATGTTTGTATTTCACATGCAAATAGTTGTAAAACTGTTGAAGTGTAAGAAAATGACAATTTAAGACCTTCCTATGATCATCTCTAAAAGTTCTTTTCAAACCCTATGCTTACCCTGTTGTTGCAGTTTGATTGGTGATTTATTATATATCTATTGCACAGTTCTTGCCAAATACAGCAAGGGGTGCTTTAAACTCACAATCAGCATACAGGTTTTTTTTCATTGTATGGACACTTTCTGCTCATTTTTGGTTGTTAGTAATTGGTGCAAGTAGATTTCATATAAAGATTTCCAAATGGACATTTTTTATATCAAAATACATCATATTTATAGAGTGTGATGTTAATGACTTATCTACTGGACTGGTGGAGTGTGTGTGTGTGTGTGTGTGTGTGTGTGTGTGTTTGTGTGTGCATGCATGCGTGCTAGTACGTTCGTGTGCGTGCATGTGTGTGGTTTAGTCATGTACTTTGAGTTGCTACTTTTGTGCTAAAAAACATGACTTTACTTGTGTGCATATGTGTGCTTAATTGTGGTGGTAAGCCATGAAACTGCTAAACACCACAGACAAGTTTGCAGGTTACAATACTAAATCAGATCAAATTATAATTCAATTTAGTGCTTAGTGCTTGCTGGTAATGTAAGTCGGCCTGAAACTCATTGATTTAGAGTGTGAACAGGTGCTTGACAAATGCTATTACCTATCAGCTTCCTATCAATTTCCAGGGAATGTACATATGAACAAATATGGATAATGAAGGCATCTGAGGAAATTTGATAGAAACAGTGTGCACTTTAAACATGATCATTTCATGTGAACTGTCACAGTAATGGACACATGTATCTTTAGAAACCTTAATATCACCATGCTTTAGTTCCGAATGTTATTTCTCTTTCCCAAAAGGTAAGTACCGCAGTTGTATTATTTTGTTTATGTTTGAGTTCTATACATGCTGACATTTGAGTGGGCCATGTCTGTATGACATATGGATATAATAACACGGGTGCCTTTCAACACATATTTTTCTGTTGTTTACAGGGTTATTGGTTTTGAAGAGCTTGGCAGCAGTCATACATTCGTGACTGAAGTCTTGGAGAGTCGGCTAGGAAAGTCAGGTAACCAGTTTCCACCACACACACATCACACACCACTTCTTTAGTTAATGAAGGAGTTTTTGAAAGTTTTAGACATTTCTTCCAATACTCTTCACGTTATTGGTTCAAATTTGTACATTGCTGTAATTCTTGAAAAGACAAAAATATGACTATCAGAGTTTTCATGGCATCTTTCCTTTTGAGAAAGAAGGTGATCCCGAAGTTTGAAAATAACTAAACCAAATTTCCTCATTTTATTGGTTGAACAAAAAAGAATATGATCAGATGCATGGAAATCCGTGGTAATTCTATTTACACCCAAACTAAAAACGTTGGTGGTATGAAAAGGAGAATATATTACAATGTATATTGAAGATTGTACATGAATGCTGTGAAAAGTGATTGGTGGTATGAATGTTGTGCTTTAATTGTTAATTCACACAGTTAGCGCTGAGTGCCATGGAGTTATTTTAGATTTTCCTTTTACAGGTGTGATAGATGTACCTGAGGACCAGGATATTTCAAAGAAAACCATATTTGGAGCCTGATCAGTGGGTAAAAATCCTGGTGATGATGACAGCAGCGATGATGACTACTGAGCTTATGGACTTATTTGATGCATTTTATACACATATTTTTTATTATTTATTACATTTAGTACCATTAAAGTTATCTTACACTTTCAGTCTTGTTGTTCTTTAATGATGTAGGAGATGATCAAAATTAGGGCTCTATTCCTGTGTTGGTAATATTTGATGTTAGGACTACCGAGTATTCGATAACTGGTCATTATGTCATTTGTTTCAAATGTATAAGATTTCGGTGCTTTAAATACTGAAATAGCATCTGCCCTGCATGGTCTAGCAGATACAGTGTTTGCCAAAAGAGTTTAAGATCAGTGGTTCGACACTGGCCATGTCATACCAAGATATCCAGGTTATAATTGATCTTCAGTAACCCATCCGTGCTATAAGACTAACAGGATCGGGTGCAGTGTTTGCCCTTAACCCTGAAAAGCTACAGGCCCTAAGGACCCAGACCCATAAAAAAGTTGTGGGTCCTGATGAGAATATGTGAGCCCAATATTTTAGCAACAATATAAGTAATTCCCAGCAAACAAAAAATGTGACAACTAACAGAGTTAAAGAGTTTAATTTAACTCTAGTGACTGACTTGTCTTCATTTACAAAACCATGTATCGTCTACCATTATAAATGAACTGGAAGCGATTCCCTGTCAGTGTATAGAGTTTGTAATGCATTCGGATAACGTGTTTGAGGTTAAACCATCATATCTCAGAAATCTAAATTCCTCGAAAACGATAGTCTTTTAACTTACAGACAACAGCTGCTGATCGAGATAAAATCTAGAAATTACTGAATGACATTTTCTGCAAAGATAATACTATTAGTTATTGGGGATGAAAAAGCTGCTGGCCATAAGGACCTGCAGAAAACAAAAGCTGTGGGTCCAAGAGGTTTTGAGTTGGCTTCGGGCATGAGGACGAACATTAATTTGAAACTCTGATCGGGTGGTCAGCCTCTCTGACGTCTTTGACACGTCATCGTATCCGAATTGCGTAGTAGATCGACGCTCATATTGTTAATCACTGGATTGTGTGGTCCAGACTCAATTAATTGCATGTCAGTTAATGACTGCCGCCTTATAGCTGGAATATTGCTGAGTGTGGGGTAACTAAACTCACTCACTCATACCAAGACATCAAAATGGGACTGCCTAGTGCTTGGCATGAAGGGGGGATATTAAAGGAGGGATGGTTCACTTGGTGCAAGTATAGTTTGTCTGGGGCATCCATGTTTAACTTCAGCATGATGTCTCAGTTGGCTGGCACTCTGTAACCATCATTAGTCAGGTTTAGTCCAAGCAGTCAAGCACCTGATATATAAGTGCAGTAAATTGACACACAATGTAGAATGACATTTCCACGACCACTTTTCCCTGTCAGGACATTCACATTTAAATGCAGAACAGTTTCCTATTGGGAATCTCACAGATAAGGTCATCAGTGGTGACTATCAGAATTGGATCTAACTGGGTAATTGGATGACTTCGTTGATTATTTGTCTTCCTATGGAAGGTGTTGATGCTTGCGCATGTGATCAAATGCTGAATTGTGTCCTCCACACTTAATTACTGTTTCCGAAGGTTGTCATCATATTAGAATACAGCAGAGCTGCTGCATCAAAGAACAAACAAACCTGTATCAGTTACAATCATCAGCACTGACAGTAATTCCTTTCCGTCACAAATGGGAGAACATTGAAAGGGGGCTTGGCAAGGGCACATTATCATTATCTACAAATGGGAGAACATTGTCATTTAAAACAGCTTGAAATTCAATCCCTCAAAAACCACGTCATCAATCGAATCAATGCGTTGTTTTTGTGTAGATTAAGACAGCCGTTTTACACTTTCACACAGAGAATGCCTAAATTTCAGAAAAAGCACACATTCAATGTCTAAGCCTTGGCCTCAACTGGACACCAGATTGTAGATTACGGCCTCCCTTGTCTGTGCCCGGGAAAGACCTTCAGCTTCAGTGCGAATCATAATGATTTTAGCAGTACTTCAGTTACAGAGCCTTTAACACTTCGATAAACCAACAAAACACGTACATGCTGCTGACTATCAAGGATCGTTATTGGCATGAATCTGGATAACTCAAGCAGACCATTGGTGCCTTGGTCTCATGTGAACATGTCCATACTCCCTGTATGTTTTAGGGGATACATGTATATCGTTTGTTTCAAGAGTAGAAAGTCGGTGGTAGAATCTTCTGACAGTGAGGCGTGAAAATATGGTACTTGGAGTTACCCTGATGTTGAATACACAGTTCAAATATGATAACATAGTGTTATCCCGAAGACAATTGCAGTTACATCAGCACAAGACCCCATCCGCAATATACAAATAACACTGATAATCAATAACTTCATTCGCCCGACTTGATTCATATTTCTCTCTTTCAACTTGATGTGAGAAGGCAATAGTCTTGAGAACAGGACAGTGTTATGGAAATCTAATGAAGCCTGACTATGTATGGCGCGCATGTTTTCTCTGTGTCCGTTTAATTTAATCCATATAAACGACCTCTGCCGCATTCCTTACGTGTCTTCATAGCGAGAAACGGTTTGAGAACACCATATGTATGATTATAATTTATCAGCCTGCTCAAAGCACTGAAAAACATTTTGAACATTGAGGAAAAAAACGTAAGTATCGAAACGAGCATAAAAGAGCTCACCTCTTTGGCGAGGGACCCGTACGTCATCCTGTGCCCAAATGTGCTGGTGCTTCAAAAATTCTTAAAAAATCCAGTTTGCTGCCTTTATGGCATTGCTGGATGTATGTACAGTTTGAGAATTGTTTTGCCATCGTGATTTGGAATCCCTAGTTACAAACGTACTGTTTTGAATGGCTTTCATCAAGTCGCCTGCACAAGAACTGGGGAAGCTCTTTTTTTTTTCTGTCAAGCATATACAACATCTCACGGTTACACTTTGATCAATTTGTCCGGTACAATGAAGCTGAAGGGGTTGTTGTCTGCAAGGGTACAACAGATATGTATCCCAGCCAAATTCAGAATACAGAAACTAACTCAAGGGCGTGTCGATTCCGAACCGTTTTCTTGATCAAAACTATCATACTATTCGATTCGATCATATTATTCGATTATATATGAAACGAGCGTACACAATAATACCACTCGCAATCAGGCGAACGGGAACTATTACATGAACCGGTTTCGGATTTGACTTTAGAAACATGGACTGGGTACGGTTATGTATTTTGACTTAGAGAGACTATAGATACAGAAACATACCTGGGGTAGATATCTATATAGTGCCAGTGCTGACGACCCCTTCAGTCACAATGAAGTCTACACAGAAACCATATTTCAGCAGCAACATGACATTAAGGTAATATTTTCCTTTCTGCATGACCAGAATACATGTTTTTGAGCTACAAACACATATTGGCTTCTACTGGTTTCGCCCCCATGAACCAAATAGAGGAAGGCATCCCACTATGTATGAACCTCATATCAGGTTCAATCCTCAACTAGATCTATGTCTCTCAAACCCTGAACTTCCAATGCATAAATAGGATTGGAATCTTTGCTAAGCTGATTCAGTTACGTTAACCATGTTCACGTTCGAATATATTTCCCCCTATCAGCAGGGTTGGCCCAGCAAAAGGCAGGTTATCAGTGGTTTTATTTATGGTCTAAGTGAGGTAATCCTGTTTGTGCAAGAGTTAACTCCCTTGACGTAACTCCGCACAGCGTCTCATTAAAAACTTCAAACAGGGCGTGCTACCTTAATCAAAGGGAGTTAACCGCGTACAGCAAACCAAGAGTTGTTTCCCTTGTTCAAAGGGGAGGTAAGCCTGTTTAACAAAATGTAACAAATGATTAACAGTAATCATTGTACACTATCAAGCTTGCACGTGAGTACAAATTTAACGAGCACCTTCTCTCTAATGTGCGTTTTGTTTCCTTGTAAAATGGATTTGTCAAAAACAGGATTTGCAGTGCTCATCATTGCCATGTATCAGGTTCATTTACGTGAATTATAACACATCGCAAACGTATAAATATTCTTCCTGCGTTGTGCAATACTTATTCTTCTAAAATTTGTGGATAGCCAATGATAGACATGTGGAAGTCGCAGTATATGGTCAAAGGGAAGTAATCGTGTTTGCACAAGAGTTATCTCCCCTGTCGAAGCTCAGCACAGTGTCCCGTCTAAAATTCCACACATGGCGTGTACCTTCGATCAAAGGGACATAACCCGTACAACAAAATCAAGAGTTATGTCCCTTATCACAAAGGGAAGTAAGCCATTCAGCAAATGGTAAACCAGAAGTACAGTTGCTTCCCTTTTGACCATAAACAGAACGGCACTTCAAAATCCATTGTGTCGTATCCATGTATTATCGAGGTAACGGACTAAGCCAGCTTGATCAGAATGACACTAAAATCGTTCATGCGCGGCCCATGAAACAACATGAGTCCAATCAGCAGATTTTCCGTGAACTACGAAGAACATACAGAAGTGCATGAAACCATTGGAGTTGCCTCCCTTAGACCAGTGATCTTAGACTGACTCCCCCAGTGAGCGAGCGACACACCGTCTTTTTTTTCAAATCAGAATTAATGTTCGTTCATTTTTTGTTTAACGCCACACTCAGCGTGGCAGAATACTGTAAATAATCGACGCCTCAGTCAGAATTAATGTAAATCTCAAAGAAATAAGAAAAGAGGTGAATGTAGAGCATTTCTTTTTTTTAATTTATATTTTACACTGTTCTCTCAAGTTTTTCCAGCCTTTGTAATATTGTCACCATATTTAACTAATATACCTTGTACTTTGACAAAATCACTGAAGGCACAAAGCAATGGAATTTATGGACGAGTTACCCCTCGTGCGTGTCGTGAAATATGTTATATCGTGCGCACGAAATGTAGAGAGAGGATTTAAAAAAATGATATATCGTGCGCACGAGATACTACATTGTGCGCACGATATAACATATCGTGCGCACGACATATTAAATAGCGTGTGCATGAAATGAATATACAGGATATCGTGCGCAAGGGATGATTCATTCAAGGCATGATGCAGGACACCAAAGTGCGCACTGCAAAGAACACACCTGCGGACACGTATGGGAGACATGGAGGATGTCAGGACTGATATAACACGCCTGTGTTTTCATCTCGGTTTTACCTACCAGCAGATTGCATCTCTCTTGGCCAGAAGGCACAGGATAATCATCTCTGAACGGCATTTAAAAGGTTACTGAAACAACTGGGATTATTTCGGCGGAAAAACTATACTGACGTATATGTATATGACTTCATAGGGAACCAGTTACAGTTGTGTGGACAGAAGCAAGGCTATTGCTGGATGTATATGACTTCATAGGGAACCAGTTACAGTTGTGTGGACAGATGCATGGCTATCGCTGGATGTATATGACTTCATAGGGAACCAGTTACAGTTGTGTGGACAGATGCATGGCTATCTATGGATGTAGATGACTTCATAGGGAACCAGTTACAGTTGTGTGGACAGATGCATGGCTATCGCTGGATGTATATGACTTCATAGGGAACCAGTTACAGTTGTGTTGGGCAGATGCATGGCTATCGCTGGATGTATATGACTTCATAGGGAACCAGTTACAGTTGTGTGGACAGATGCAAGGCTATCGCTGGATGTATATGACTTCATAGGGAACCAGTTACAGTTGTGTGGACAGATGCATGGCTATCGCTGGATGTATATGACATCATAGGGAACCAGTTACAGTTGTGTGGACAGATGCATGGCTATCGCTGGATGTATATGACTTCATAGGGAACCAGTTACAGTTGTGTGGACAGAAGCAAGGCTATCGCTGGATGTATATGACTCATAGGGAACCAGTTACAGTTGTGTGGACAGAAGCATGGCTATCGCTGGATGTATATGACTTCATAGGGAACCAGTTACAGTTGTGTGGACAGATGCATGGCTATCGCTGGATGTATATGACTTCATAGGGAACCAGTTACAGTTGTGTGGACAGATGCATGGCTATCGCTGGATGTATATGACTTCATAGGGAACCAGTTACAGTTGTGTGGACAGATGCATGGCTATCGCTGGATGTATATGACTTCATAGGGAACCAGTTACAGTTGTTTGGACAGATGCATATCGCTGGATGTATATGACTTCATAGGGAACCAGTTACAGTTGTGTGGACAGATGTATGGCTATTGCTGGATGTATATGACTTCATAGGGAACCAGTTACAGTTGTGTGGACAGATGCATGGCTATCGCTGGATGTATATGACATCATAGGGAACCAGTTACAGTTGTGTGGACAGATGCATGGCTATCGCTGGATGTATATGACTTCATAGGGAACCAGTTACAGTTGTGTGGACAGATGCATGGCTATCGCTGGATGTATATGACTTCATAGGGAACCAGTTACAGTTGTGTGGACAGATGCATGGCTATCGCTGGATGTATATGACTTCATAGGGAACCAGTTACAGTTGTGTGGACAGATGCATGGCTATCGCTGGATGTATATGACTTCATAGGGAACCAGTTACAGTTGTGTGGACAGATGCATGGCTATCGCTGGATGTATATGACTTCATAGGGAACCAGTTACAGTTGTGTGGACAGATGCATGGCTATCGCTGGATGTATATGACTTCATAGGGAACCAGTTACAGTTGTGTGGACAGATGCATGGCTATCGCTGGATGTATATGACTTCATAGGAACCAGTTACAGTTGTGTGGACAGATGCATGGCTATCGCTGGATGTATATGACTTCATAGGGAACCAGTTACAGTTGTGTGGACAGATGCATGGCTATCGCTGGATGTATATGACTTCATAGGGAACCAGTTACAGTTGTGTGGACAGATGCATGGCTATCGCTGGATGTATATGACTTCATAGGGAACCAGTTACAGTTGTGTGGACAGATGCATGGCTATCGCTGGATGTATATGACTTCATAGGAACCAGTTACAGTGGTGTGGACAGATGCATGGCTATCGCTGGATGTATATGACTTCATAGGGAACCAGTTACAGTTGTGTGGACAGATGCATGGCTATCGCTGGATGTATATGACTTCATAGGGAACCAGTTACAGTTGTGTGGACAGATGCATGGCTATTGCTGGATGCATAAAAAAATGCATCCAGTCAGGACTAGTTCTCAAACAGGGAACTGTGCGAACCTTGCTAAGACTGATGGATCCTGAGGGTGTGGAGATACGTCTTGGAGGGAGACTCCGGAGACGTACATATTCAACAAATGGCCAAAACTTCAGGTGGCATTTGGATTCCTATGACAAACTAACACCTTATGGTTTGTGCATTAATGCCCGTATCGATGGATTTCACGCAAAATCATCTGGCTTGAAGTTGCTAAAACAAATAGTGACCCAAAGGTTATTGCCGGATATTACATAAAGGCTATCATAGATGCTAATGGCGCTCCTGTATGCTTGCGCAGTGACATGGGTACTGCAAATCGAACAGTTGCCGTTTTACAAAAAGTCCTGCGCGAAACTACAGGTGATCGTCACGTGAGCTTTCTCTTGGAACAAGCCAGCATAATCAAAGAATTGAGTGTTGGTGGGGCATTCTGAGAAGACAAAGCATACAGTTTTGGATGAACCTGTTTGAAGAGATGAAAGCTAACGGGCATTTCACAGGAGACTTGCTGGATAAAAGTTTGATCCAGTTCTGTTTTCTTCATATCCTGAAAGTAAATATACTGAACAGCAAAAGAAACGCACGTTTCGAAAAAATGAAATCTCATAAAAATGGATCAAATATAAAACTGGAATCAATTAAGAACCAAATGTAATACATATCAAATTTGGTTATAAAGGAAAACAAAACGATGTACTAAACTTGATTTTTATTGTTACTAAACATTACACATACACATGCAAATGGGGGCGGTGGGGTAGCCTAGTAGTTAAAGCGTTGGCTCGTCACGCCAAAGACCCGGGTTCGAATCCCCACATGGGTACAATGTGTGAAGCCCATTTCTGGTGTCCCCCGCCGTGATGTTGCTGGAATATTGCTAAAAGCGGCGTAAAACCAAACTCAGTCAGTCAGTACATGCAAATGCCAGAAACAAGCCGCAAATGAATGGCCCTAAATTAGTTTCACAAGGCTCCTGTTAAGTCAGTAAGCATCTTCTCTACACAGATTGTAGATATGAAAATTTCATCTCCTTCTGGTTTTCATGCCACAGCCTTTTTACATAATTCTTTTTTGTCATACTCTGCCATTTTGAAATGTATGCCATAAAACAGAAATGTCTGGATCTACAAGGTACGCTATGTTGAAAATGTATGTTGTACATGTGTTGTACGTAATATACCTACACAAAAATATCATGCAATTTACCAATGTTGATGTGGTTAAATATGTTAGTCTAATTTTATATTATGTACAAATTAGAATCAATAGCAGAAGACACTGGTGATGTGTGACCATGCATTTGTCTGTATTATGGGGGGCGGTGGGGTAGCCTAGTGGTTAAAGCGTTCGCTCGTCATGCCGAAGGCCCAGGTTCGGTTCCCCACATGGGTACATTGTGTAAAGCCCATTTCTGGTGTCCCCTGCTGTGATGTTGCTGGAATATTGTTAAAAGCGGCGTAAAACCATACTCGACCACTCACTGTATTATGGGCCAGTGGCCTTTTACTGAATAAAACTGTCTTTAAAATAAAAACATGTAACAATCATGATTATCAACGTCAACTTGGATGAATCATACAACTTGCACACAACAAACTGGAAAGGGGAAAACAGCATGCCGACTACAGACTCATGTGAAGGGGATAACGCCGTGTATCTCGGATAGACAGATCTGTGGGAAGGAAGGGATAGAATATTTCAGGTTTATCCCGGTAATAACAACGCTGTTGTTTCCGGATTTAAACGCAACTCTTCCACATCGCCCATCAATGAAAAGGAAGCGCTATCTGTAAGGAAAACTGTTTTCAGCGGGATATTTGCAATACTAGTATCAGATTTCGTGGCTCTCTGGGCTGGCGTGGTCAGCTGTTTTGACGTGATGTCATTTCGCGACAGCCGATAATAATGTTGATTAACGCTGTATCGGAGCCGATGCTGGACAGTGTGAAAACTGAATCTCTCACTTGAGTGTCAGTGACAGGCAATGTCAACACTGACAACAGGTAAAAAGTAACCTGTTTCGTACCTCATGTAGGAGTCTGTAGAGCGAGCCGAGATCCATACTGCATCGCGATGCAGGGTCATGTCTTGACTGTATTGGACCGCATCGCGGCTCTCGGCTACTTACAGCCTACACAGGGGCTTGTATTGCTGAAAATAATACGTCCTAGGTCCAACACTCGTTGACTGATAGACATCTCAGTCATTCTCAGTTAAACAAATGCTGTCATTGCCTCTACATTAATCTTTTCTGTATAAAGTAAGCTGAATGTTGAAACATATGGTTTCCTATCAAGTTGATAAAGCAGTAAACCTGTGATTGGATCGTGGAAATTTAAATTTAAAGATGTAAACTATTGGCAAGAGTTACTCCCGTTCCCCATCCCAAATAATAGTATAAATATGCTAACATTATTAACAAAGCTTGACACAACAATTACTAGAGAACTCACAAAATGACTAAAAGTCCAAAATTTAAGTTAGGGTTAGGTTTAGAGTTAGGTTTAGGGTTGGGGGAACGGAAGGAACTCTTTCCGAACTATTTTCAGTTTTTGATTATAATTGTTGATGTAGTTCTTTATATGATACTTGTGAAACTGCACAGTAGGTATGATAATAATACTTAAAAACAAAACATGTAGTGATGTTATTGCATGCGATTAATAATAAAGCATTTATGAAGTCCTATATTAACTGTTAACGTAAATTACAATACTTTATTGGGGATTGTTTGGAAAGTGACATTATGTTAAATGATGGAATCTATACGTTATTGCTTGAATTGTGGTCATCTATTGCAGTTATTATAGCTAAATCTCAAGCAGAGAGACAAAGAGAATACAGAGAAGGAAAAATCAGAATTGGGAAACAAAATGGAATAGGAAAGAATTGGAACGGTTAAAAGTATTATAAGCAGACCAGTACACTGTCTAGAGCTGAAAAAGAAAAAAAAAAAAAAATGTAGAGAAAGAAACAAAAAGAAATGTCAGAAAATATGCAGAAAAGTAAAAGCCATTCTAGCTACTATGAACCAGAATGAAGCTGACTGCAGAAGTTAATCCATGGGAGCCTGAAGTGACTGAAATGTCTGATGAGAATGGTGTGTCCAGTACAACACAGGAACCAGTGATTTTAAGCTACCCGCTTTTAATCATGTGCAAGTTTCTATGTTTTATACATTCATATATCGTCAAATGTTCTTTGAAAGTTCTGCTTTGGTCCTTGCTTATGATAGTATCACCTATGCCCATTTATATTTAAAGTTGCAATTGTTGACTGGTAATTTTCGTGACAGTCGTATTTTGATCAGGGTCTATGTGTCTAATGTTCATGGTCAGGTTAACCATAAGTTGTTGGTTTCATTAATTAGTTGTCTATTTGGAAAAAAAACCCCTTCTAAATAGAAGCATTTAAGAGTTGCACCTTTTGTCATTTGGTATTGTTTATTTGTATCAAAATTAATGAAACATTGTAATTTACGTCACTCAAAAAAAGAATGAGTTGTTACACAGATGACTGTTAAGATCGTTGGGACCAGCATGTGAAATTATTGCCTGACAATACAGTATCACAGTGACAGGTGATAATCAAATATGAAACGCAGCAATTTTGTTTTAGCACTATCATTGAGAAAGCGTATCAGTTTTAACAATGGCATTTCCTTTCATACCCAGTATAAAATATCTGACATAATAAAGTACACGCCTGGATGTTCATATTGCTTTTCCACATAGATGACATGTGAAACTGTCTATCGTATTCTGCTGTTTTTTAAAATGTCAGTGTATTGCTAATTGAAAGGCAGCTGGTCATTATGACTTGGGTGTCATCACGTAAATTTCATTGTCACTTCAGGGTACAGTAGTATAAAGAGCTGTTGCAGGGTAATTGTCTGTGCCTGAGTGCCGAATATTTAGTAACAGATTCTCAAATGCTTGTACGTCATGAAAAGTAATGCAATTTACCGAACATGAAACATTTGTTTCCCGCGAGTTTCCACTGGCAATTGTACATTTTAACTGAGAATGGCTGATCTATGTTACCCATAAGGGCCCCTGTGGAGTCTACACTTCAGGGGAAGTGGTTAAAGTTTTATTTTAACCCCATATACATTTGATATTTCCAAACAATTCCATTATTTTGTGAAGACACTCCCCCTTCCCCCCAACAAAAAAAACTAACAAAAAAACCAAAGCAAACAAAACCCCCAAACCCCAAAACCACTCATTAGCCCCAACAAAACCAAACTTTCCAGGACAATTTTATCCCCTCAATATGTTGTATTCATCAAACAGATAACTAGATAATGCTCTGTGATAGTAACTGGTATTGATTAATTCTGTTATCTTACCATCTACACAGCTACTAAACCAATGACGTCCCAGAGAAGTGGAGTCTGTCTGGGGCCACCCACCCCCTGCCAGTGGGAAGGTTTGTTTACAGCTCTGGAAGGAGACAGGTCACTACAAAAAGCTGAGATATGGCTTAGGGAGAACATGTCAACACTCTACGCAGATCATGTTCCAGCGCAATGGCAAGTTCTGCTAGAATTCCTGTCGGATCAGGTTGTCTCAGGAAGCCGTGAGAAGTTTGTGCTGTAAGTTACTGTTTTGTTGTATTGATCAGTATAACAATAGCTTGGATGCCCCTGTCCCTGTCCAAGATGATAATTTCATAATGGCAAACAGTACAAATGTCTTTTATGAGGTAGGCATGTTAGAAATGAGGTGCTAATCAGCTGTGATACATATGTGAAACTCATGATTGGAGTATCTGTCCTATTCAGAGTTCTCTCCCTTTTCTACCAAGATCATTGTTGGACATCAAGAATTCACCCTATTTAATGTCCTGTCAAATGTTATGATGTCCTTCAAAGTTATGAAGTTTCATGGTGTGAAATGTCAAGAAGACCAGCTGAATGCAGAAAGTAGCCAAAAAATCATTGCCAATCATGATCTCTTTCCCATTTTATGTTGTGTTTCTAAACCAAAATAAGGTCCCCATTTCACAAAGCAATATTAGGGCTGAGGTAATCATAAATCCCATATTTTAACACAGGCTTATTGTCATTGCTCTAAGATTTGCTTTGTGGAACAGGTGCAAGTGAATTAGAAAAACAAATATCTGACCCCCAGGGCTGAAGAATGATAATAATTTTATGGATATATAACTTCTTTCTTCTGTGAAAGGTGACGTTTTGACGTAGATTCTAATGTCGTCAGGCAAGTGATGATAACGACATTAGAATTTATGTCGAAACATCGCCTTTCACAGAATAAAGAAGTTGTATATCCATAAAATTAACATCATTCTTCATACCACAGGGATCTAGGTGAGATGTGTATTCGTGTAAAATATACACACAAAAAGTAATCACCCAATTTAGTTTGTGTGGCTTGAGTACAAGTACATTTGAAAATATATCTTAACTCTGCAATATCACACTGAGTAATTACCTAGTGCTTGAGCATTGATTAAATGCACATATCTCAACTGTGTAAATCAATGCTCATGATGTTAATCACTGGATTGTCTGGTCCAGAATCAAGTACTTACAGAACACCATCACATAGCTGGAATGTTGCAGAGTGTAGCAAACAAAACCAATTCAGATATAACACAGACACAAACTCTGCGTAAAATGGGCGCTATATTTCACAGGGTATTCATGAAAATGCCAATCCTTGAGTGAGTTTCTGTGACATGTCACACACAGGGGAAGCACATTAGCAGGTTTTAAATATTCAGCAGAATTATGTTTAAAAAAGTCTGATCAGTGGTGTTTAACATATTTGACAGAGTAAAACTATATCAGACACCAAAAGGAAATGATTATTAACCTATGTGAATGATCACATGAAAAACTTCTCAATATCAGAAAAATATCTCCAGGACAAACCAAATGTCCCTGCTCATGATGCTTATCTATCAGTCTGCCATCTTGCCCACAATGATGATGAAAAAACATAGCATTTTACTGACTACAAGAAGTGATTTGATTGTTCTGAAACATTTTCAGAAGTTCTGTGTACAGTAGCCTGCCCCCTGATCTTCAAAGGAACATTGTAGCTGTCATCTTCCAGCATCGAGGGGACATCAAAATGGAGGTTCTCAGACAGTTTGTCCTGGAGGTGAAAGCTCCACACACCACCATCTCCTGGACCACCCTGTTGTGGCGGCTGCTGGCTGAGCATGTTGGTGTTACACCCACAGTGAATCCCACCATGGCACTTCTTGGACAAGAAGGTGAAATTTGTAAATCAGATCTCTCTCCCTGATATTGGTGGTAGGGTAACCTAGTGGTTGAAGTGTCCTCTCGTCACGCCGAAGACCTGGGTTCGATTCCCCACATGGGTATAATATGTGAAGCCCATTTCTGGTGTCCCCCACCATGATATTGCTGAATATTGGTAAAAGCAAGGTAAAACCTTACTCTTTCAATCACTCTTTCCCTGATACAATACTTATCCAGATTGTTGGGACACCTCCAGATTGTTCCTGGTATCCTGACATCCAGATTTCAAACTTCTGCTTGCATATGGAGTTACATGTTGTATTAGTTAAATGTTATTTTATTTTGGACTATTTTCATTGTTGCCATCTTTGAATTAGGTTAATCACGAAAATATATGTAGAGGAAGACACAAACAGTTTGAAAAATAAAGTCTCAGGGATCTTAAGTCCACATGAAATACATTCTCAGTTATTGGCAACTATAATTAAAAGGGTCATGAAATTGATAGATGGGTGGTTGTTCTCATTCTCAAACACATAGCGTGATCTGCAATGAAACTATTTGCACAGAAATTCCAAATAAGTCATATGTAAATAAGAAAGGTCAGGTCAACAAAGGAGTTGAAAAGTTCCAAGTGTTGCTTCACGAGATAGCATAATCATTCAATTACATCATGCAGTTGGCACTGTTATGTGTTCACCGTGACAGGTGCTATTATACAGGACAATTCCACCATGACAGGTGCTAGTATACTGGACATTTCCACCATGACGGGTTCTAGTATACTGGACATTTCCACCGTGACAGGTTCTAGTATACTGGACAATTCCACCATGACAGGTGCTAGTATACTGAACATTTCCACCATGACAGGTGCTAGTATACTGGACATTTCCACCATGACAGGTGCTGGTATACTGGACATTTCCACCATGACGGGTTCTAGTATGCTGGACATTTCCACCATTGACAGGTTCTGAGTATACTGGACATTTCCACCATGACAGGTTCTAGTATACTGGACATTTCCACCGTGACAGGTGCTAGTATACTGGACAATTCCACCATGACAGGTGCTAGTATACTGGACATTTCCACCATGACAGGTGCTAGTATACTGAACATTTCCACCATGACAGGTGCTAGTATACTGGACATTTCCACGTGACGGGTGCTGAGTATACTGGACATATCCACGTGACAGGTTCTAGTATACTGGACATTTCCACCATGACAGGTTCTAGTATACTGGACATTTCCACCATGACAGGTTCTAGTATACTGGACATTTCCACAATGACAGGTTCTAGTATACTGGACATATTCCACCATGACAGGTGCTAGTATACTGGACATTTCCACCATGACAGGTGCTAGTATACTGAACATTTCCACCATGACAGGTGCTGAGTATACTGAACATTTCCACCATGACAGGTGCTAGTATACTGGACAATTCCACCATGACAGGTGCTAGTATACTGGACATTTCCACCATGACAGGTGCTAGTATACTGAACATTTCCACCATGACAGGTGCTAGTATACTGAACATTTCCACCATGACAGGTGCTGGTATACTGAACATTTCCACCATGACAGGTGTTAGTAATAGTAGTATACTGAACATTTCAAACCATGACGGGTGCTAGTATACTGGACAATTCCCACCATGACGGGTGCTGGTATACTGGACATTTCCACCATGACAGGTTCTGGTATGCTGGACATTTCCACCGTGACAGGTTCTGGTATACTGGACATTTCCACCATGACAGGTTCTAGGTATGCTGGACATTTCCACCGCGGACAGGTTCTAGTATACTGGACATTTCCACCATGACAGGTTCTAGTATACTGGACATTTCCACGTGACGGGTTCTGGTATGCTGGACATTTCCACCATGACAGGTTCTAGTATACTGGACATTTCCACGTGACAGGTTCTGGTATGCTGGACATTTCCACCATGACAGGTTCTGGTATGCTGGACATTTCCGCCGTGACAGGTTCTGGTATACTGGACATTTCCACCCGTGACAGGTTCTAGTATACTGGACATTTCCACCATGACGGGTGCTAGTATACTGGACATTTCCACCGTGACAGGTTCTAGTATACTGGACATTTCCACCATGACGGGTTCTAGTATACTGGACATTTCCACCGTGACAGGTTCTAGTATGCTGGACATTTCCACCATGACAGGTTCTGAGTATACTGGACATTTCCACCATGACAGGTGCTAGTATACTGAACATTTCCACGTGACATTTCTAGTATGCTGGACATTTCCACCGTGACAGGTTCTGTAGTATACTGGACATTTCCACCATGACAGGTTCTGGTATGCTGGACATTTCCACCATGACAGGTTGCTGAGTATGCTGGACATTTCCACCATGACAGGTGCTGGTATACTGGACATTTCCACCATGACAGGTGCTGAGTATACTGAACATTTCCACCGTGACAGGTTCTGGTATGCTGGACATTTCCACCGTGACGGGTGCTGGTATATTGGACATTTCCACCACATTGACGGGTTCTAGTATACTGGACATTTCCACCATGACAGGTGCTGGTATACTGAACATTTCCACGTGACGGGTGCTGGTATGCTGGACATTTCCACCGTGACAGGTTCTGGTATACTGGACATTTCCACGTGACAGGTTCTAGTATACTGGACATTTCCACCATGACAGGTGCTAGTATACTGGACATTTCCACCATGACGGGTGCTGGTATACTGGACATTTCCACCATGACGGGTGCTGGTATGCTGAACATTTCCACCGTTGACAGGGTTCTAGTATACTGGACATTTCCACCGTGACAGGTGCTGAGTATATTGGACATTTCCGCCGTGACGGGTTCTGGTATGCTGGACATTTCCACCATGACAGGTGCTAGTATATGAACATTTCCACCGTGACAGGTGCTGGTATACTGGACATTTCCGCGTGACGGGTTCTGGTATACTGGACATTTCCACCGTGACAGGTTCTAGTATGCTGGACATTTCCACCATGACGGGTTCTGGTATACTGGACATTTCCACCATGACAGGTGCTGAGTATACTGGACATTTCCACCATGACAGGTGCTGAGTATTATGAACATTTCCACCATGACATGTGCTAGTATACTGGACATTTCCACCATGACCGCGTTCTGGTATACTGAACATTTCCACCGTGACAGGTGCTGGTATGCTGGACATTTCCACCATGACCGCGTTCTAGTATACTGAACATTTCCACCATGACAGGTTTCTGGTATGCTGGACATATCCACGTGACAGGTGCTAGTATGCCGGACATTTTTACCATGACAGGTGCTGAGTATACTGGACATTTCCACCATGACAGGTGCTGGTATGCTGAACATTTCCACCGTGACGGAGGTGCTGAGTATACTGGACATTTCCACCATGACAGGTGCTGAGTATGCTGAACATTTCCACCGTGACAGGTGCTGAGTATACTGAACATTTCCACCGTGACAGGTGCTGGTATGCGGACATTTTTTACCGTGACGTATGCTGAGTATACTGGACATTTCCACCATGACAGATTGCTGGTATACTGAACATTTCCACCGTGACAGGTGCTGAGTATACTGGACATTTCCACCATGACAGGTGCTAGTATACTGGACATTTCCACCATGACAGGTGCTGGTATACTGAACATTTCCACCATGACAGGTGCTGGTATACTGAACATTTCCACCATGACGGGTGCTGGTATACTGAACATTTCCACCGTGACAGGTGCTAGTATGCGGACATATCCACCATGACAGGTGCTGGTATACTGAACATTTCCACCATGACGGGTGCTGGTATACTGAACATTTCCACCATGACAGGTGCTAGTATACTGAACATTTCCACCATGACGAGGTGCTGAGTATACTGAACATTTCCACCATGACAGACAGGTGCTGGTATGCTGGACATTTCCACCATGACAGGTGCTAGGTATGCTGAACATTTCCACCATGACAGGTGCTGAGTATACTGAACATTTCCACGTGACAGGTGCTGGTATGCGGACATATCCACCATGACGGAGGTGCTGGTATACTGAACATTTCTACCATGACGGGTGCTGAGTATACTGGACATTTCCACCATGACAGGTGCTGGTATACTGAACATTTCCACCATGACGGGTGCTGGTATACTGAACATTTCCACCATGACAGGTGCTAGGTATACTGAACATTTCCACCATGACAGGTGCTAGTATACTGAACATTTCCACCATGACAGGTGCTGAGTATACTGAACATTTCCACCGTGACAGGTGCTGGTATGCGGACATATCCACCATGACGGGTGCTGAGTATGCTGAACATTTCCACCATGACGGGTGCTGGTATACTGAACATTTCCACCATGACGGGTGCTAGTATACTGAACATTTCCACCATGACGGGTGCTGGTATACTGGACATTTCCACCATGACAGGTGCTGGTATACTGAACATTTCCACCATGACAGGTGCTGAGTATACTGAACATTTCCACCATGACAGGTGCTGAGTATGCTGGACATTTCCACCATGACGGGTGCTGGTATACTGAACATTTCCGCGATGACAGGTGCTGGTATACTGGACATTTCCGCGATGACAGGTGCTAGTATACTGAACATTTCCACCGTGACAGGTGCTAGTATGCGGACATATCCACCATGACAGGTGCTAGTATGCGGACATTTCCACCATGAAAGGTTCTAAGTATACTGGACATTTCCATGACAGGTGTTAGTATACTTGACATTTCCACCATGACAGGTGCTAGTATACTGGACATTTCCACCATGACGGGTGCTAGTATACTGGACATTTCCATGACAGGTGCTAGTATACTGGACATTTCCATGACAGGTGCTAGTATACTGGACATTTCCATGACGGGTGCTAGTATACTGGACATTCCACCATGAGAGGTGCTGGTAACTAGTAGTATACTGGACATTTCCACCATGACAGGTGCTAGTATTCGGGACATTTCCACCATGATAGGTTCTAGTATACTGGACATTTCCATGACAGGTGCTAGTATACTGGACATTTCCACCATGACAGGTGCTAGTATACTGGGCATTTCCACCGTGACAGGTGCTGGTATACTGAACATTTCCACCATGACAGGTGCTAGTATAATGGACATTTCCACCATGACAGGTGCTAGTATGCCGGGCATTTCCACCATGATAGGTTCTAGTATACTGGACATTTCCATGACAGGTGCTAGTATACTGGACATTTCGAACCATGACAGGTGCTAGTATACTGGACATTTCCACCATGACAGGTGCTAGTATACTGAACATTTCCACCATGACAGGTGCTAGTATACATGACATTTCCACCATGACAGGTTCTAGTATACTGAACATTTCCACCATGACAGGTGCTAGTATACTGGGCATTTCCACCATGACAGGTGCTAGTATATTGGACATTTCCACCATGACAGGTTCTAGTTTACTGGGCATTTCCTGGTGACCAGTGATTCGTTTGTAACTTTATCATTATTTGACAAGTTCGCGAAGAAGAAAATAAGGTCTTACTGTCCGTCATAACTACTTGAACAAGTTGTGTAAACATAAAGTTTTAAATTGTTATCGTGGGGCAAACACTGGATCACACTTAACACAGTCCATAGTGAGGGCTGGAGCTGGCAGTCAGTTACAGTGTTTCCTGGCATCCATGTTATGTATATCACAGTATTCAGCATGTGATGTGGATCCTAACACCTCCATAAACTTCAGTGACACATGATAACAGTAATTTTGTTGAACAATATTTTCGTCTTTGTGTTTTTAGTGCCACCTGCTGGCGATATGTCACTGCTTCTAAAGAATCTCCTGACAAGGTGGTGACCAAAACAGCAGGTGCTTGTGGTGCCGCTTGAGTCAGTGAATGGATTCAGAATCCTGGCTTGGAAGGCGGAGAGGAGGAGAAAAATGCTCTTGGTGGAGGAGAGGAGGATCCAGACTTCATAATTATCCTGGATGAGGATGAAGATGGATGTGAACCACCAACAGCCAAGAAAATAAAAGTGAAGGTTGGCAATGTAGTAAAGTATGGTTATAATGAACTTAAAGTGGCCACAAATTATACTTTAACATAACCGTGGTTTGTTAAACTGCAAGTGTCGGGACAAAAAGAAAACAGTTGAATTTATCTGTCAGATTGTTATGAGCGTGTTCATTATAAACATAATAAAGCATAAAAACCTGTTAGAACCTAAGATTTCACACGAAAACATCGCTCTATGCAATAAACATAAACATGTTATCCATAAAGTTGTATGTTGTATTACTGACTCACCAACTTCTAGAATGCCGATCAAACATCATAGTTAACTGTGATCAGAACATGTCATAATATTATGTGATTTAGTTCTTTGGATTAATCTTCTTGAACTGTAATATATTTTTTTTGCAGTCTTACCCATGGTCCTCTCAAAGTAGCATAAGTGCCTTTATTATGAGGGACGGTGGGGTAGCTTAGTGGTTAAAGCGTTAGCTCCTCATGCCAAAGACCGGGTTCGATTCTCCACATGGGTACAATGTGTGAACCCAATTTCTGGTGTCCCCTCGCGGTGTTATTGCTGGAATATTGCTAAAAGCAGCGTAAAGCTAAACTCACTGACTCACTTTCAGGGGTGGAAATAACTTTAAAATTGCTAGTGTACTCTCTGCTACAGTGGCACATGTAAAATCAATTGCCCTGATAATTTTTTTCCACTATACGGACGTTTTTGTTGATTTTTAAATAAACATAATTAATATTGAAAGTCAACTGGACACCGTACAGTGTGATATACAAATTTGCTTGCCCGACAGAAAAAACACTGGACTCGGGCCGGGCAATGGGTTATTTCCACCCCTGACTTCATTATGAAAATGACATTGACATTACAATAGTCCTTGTTCCATAAACAAATTCACTGAAGTAGTACATAATCACTCCATCTGAGGAATACAGCTATGTCATACCTGTCACCTGACATAGTTCATTGTGCTCTTGAGGATTCAAATTTATATGTAGGTTTATGCGGTATTTGACAGATTTTCTCTCTGCTGTTTATTTGCAGCTTTTGAAGAAAGGAAACCTGCAATTCCTTGTGATAAAGAGACATGTGACTTTGACCAAGAACTTGTGGTAATAACAATCTGCTTCCATCATGCCTGTATTTTTAGATGACTTGATTGTTCAGCAGAGCTGATCAATTGGGCTCAGATATTGTGCCATGTCCAGATATTAATTGTGAACTGTTTTTCTAAAAGTGTCAGCCAATAATTCTGATTCTAATGTCAATAATTATGACTGCCACAGATGAAACATCAGTAGTCTCTTTTTGAACTATCTATGTCATGTTTGCATGCACCCATTTTGTACAAGGCAGGTGATCCTAACCTTCATCCTTAGTCTGTTAGCATTTTATGTTTTAAAGTTAGACCTTAAATTATGCCCTGCAGTGTAAACATATACCAGTGTATCAAACTCCTAAAAAAAAAAGGAGGAATCCCACAGAGCTCATTACTGAAAAATGTTGCTGGCCCTGTTAACATGAACCAGCCCTGTATTAAAACTAGGAAACTGAGATAGGTGCCAATGCCATATGTGTGTCCTTCTGAGCCTTGGTGATTTACCAGTGAATCATGTTTCAGATTTGTGCTTACAGATACAAAACTACCTTTGTGTACTTAAGAAATTTAAATGGTATTTGTTGTGTTGCTAATGGGCCATATGCCCACCTGCAACCTTTGACAATACATTTTGCCCTTGTTATCGTCAACTGTAAGCCAGTCAAACTCTACTTTCCACGCGATTGGACAATTATCTGTTTCCTCTTGGTCGCATCATACTCCTTATTGTTTGTTTGTTGTCGAAGCTTCCTAGTGGGCGTTCTATCGGTTCTGGGAGTCGGAGGAATTTACATAGCATTATGATCTAAACACTAACAGACCTGACTATGGGCGCCACCATATTTGATCATTCTCAAACTCTTAGGGGTGATCTTGTCCGTTATTAACGACAGACAATGTTGCTCACTGAAAATATTCAACTATTATGAGAACCACATTGTTCATTGGCTGAAAGCATTCTCTAGACCAATCACATTTAGTGTAGATACATGGATAAGCTGATCTGTGGAAGTTATGGTTTGATTGATCATGAACTATACAGACCTCATCTAGCTACCACAATTGTATATTATTTTGAAATATTTCCGTAGTCAATGCCATGGTCAAATATATACCCTTGAAAAATGTATTGGCCCACGTGGCTGGCTATAGAATAAAGTTGTAAGCCCGCCATGTAACTAGTCATTAATGGACCGACGGGCAGACGCCTATATCATACACTGTGGTATATACCCAATATTATCTGATATGTAAGAGAGATATCAGTATATAGTCTGTAAGTCACTTTTCAAAATTTAGAAGGGATGAAACAGATTAGGACTGCGTTAATCGTGTGTTTGATCGGGTTGTTCATGTTCAATTGTATCTCAGTATGTTAACAAAATTAACGTTAATTTATCATTTATCCTCTCCATATCTCAAGTGTCCGAATTAATTTGTATGAGCAATTCTAAGAATATATGGCTGGCCAAGAATTCCAAGCCTCTTACAAGTTTAGTAAATACAACTGATTATATTTTCAGGATAACGGTATTAGACTGCGGGAGATTCTTCTGGGGTCTGCAGATGACAGTGTAAGCATTGAAGGGAGCTTGAACCATTCTGCTTACACCACCCAACAAGGTATTATGTCTGACATTTTTACACAATGCTGGTTACTTGTCAGGAAAAGTCGGTTTATCATCTAGAACTGGCTTCCTCAGGAGATGTTGCTTGGATGAGATCATGCAGTATCTCACAGGAGATATTACAACAATGAAATTGCATCATAATGGTTAACTGGTTAGCTGGTTAGTTGTATGCTTAACACCCAAGATGCTGGTTAATGTTGTTGAAGTAGGATGGACAAATATCTCTGACAACCAGAATCCCACCTGTGTGTCTTTCAATATGAGGGTTCATAAACTTGTCGATGAAAGTTTAATGCCCAGCCTCAGAGTTATTAACTTTCCTAGAATTGTGTTGATATGTTTAGGTGTTAAAAAGACGCTAAGGTGAGAATCTCTGTATGTTTCTCTCTATTTCTGCTTTCTGTTTTGTTCATTGTTCAAAGCAGTGAGAAAGTAAACTCAAGCAATCTTGTTTGTGTAGCTCACAGCACTGTGTCGAAAGCAAGTGAGTTGACCAACCTACCAGACCAAGTCCTGGCCGTCGTGGGGAGGGTGCTGGTCAAGATGGCCGAGGCGTGACATACAGATCTTGTGTGGCTCTGCTGGCTGGACTAGTCACCGATAAGGTGAATTTATGTGATAAAATGGTAGCTATAAAAAAACATGTTATATGATGCTACTGCCAGTTGGTGGCTTAGAAAGTATTATCCTTCTCCGTGAAGATACTGGTTAGAATTGGTGTTCAGCGACCCATGCTTTTACTGCTGTGAACATCTGGGTTTGGGATGATCTTCAGCAACTCACTCATAAGTGTTGACTAACAGGATCAGGGCCTCCTTTCCCAAAGCACTTAGGTGATCGTAAGTCACTAAAGGTAACCTTAGTGCAATGTTAAAGAATGGGAGTTAAGGTTAACCTTAGTAAAGTTTGCTTCTTGAAAGGAGGCCCAGGATGCGTTTGTACAAAACGATTTTTTGGTGACCGTGCTCCCATACCTTAACATAGACTTAAAGGTAATCTTAAGCTAAGGTTGTTTTGTACTAGCGGCACCCAGGTTGTCAGGCTCACTGACTTGTACAATACAGAACAAACTTGATGGATAACAACTTCTTTTTATTAGAGGTCGCGGCGTTTGATACAGATTCTTGCTTGACAGGTACAAGAATCTGTATCGAAAGTCATTGTGACCTAAATAAGTTATTATCCATAAAGTTTGTTCTATATTAACTCCTTCCCAACTTCTAAAATGCCACTCAAAGGGAAGTTAACTCACTGACTTGGTTAATCGTGTCATGGTATCTGAATTGCACAGATTGATGCAGGTTATGTCAAACCCGTGTGTTCATATATTGGGTGATGACACTCATTTACAGAACATCGTGATAAACAAATAAAAGTGTTCTACGAAGTGAGACGACCAACCCTTACGTTGTCTGCTCAACATCAATCTTTAAACAAACTCGTTTAACATACTGTGTTCCTGTGTTATGTGGAATTTGCTTTTCTTGAAGTCATTAAAATGTGGGTCCTTCAAGCATTTTGTGTACATGTTCCAGTTATGTTTGGGTTGTTTTTTAACACCACACTCAGCAATATTCCAACTATCACGATTGGTCTGTAAATAGTCTGGACCAGACAATACAGTGATTAACACCATGACCATTGATCTACACAACTAGGATATGATGAAGAGTTACATAATAAATGTATATAAAATCATGACACAGTGTCCTGAGACTTGAGATTATAACTATTTTGACAGGTTTATGCATTCTTGTTTTAATTTAGTTTCATGGGACCAGGGTGATGCCATGCTTTGTCTGGTGCAAGTATGTTCTCATGTCAACATGTACATTATTGCCAGTTAAATCAATTTCTGTAAATGCGTCCTTGTAGCAAATTTGCCATAATAAGCATCCTGGGTGCTTAAAAACTTGATGACCGCCTCGGTTGGTGTAGTGGATTTAGAGCATCCGCCCGGGGAGCCGGAAGGTCATGGAGTTCGATCCCCCCACCGTCATACCAAAAGACGTTAAAATATGGTACTTGTTGGTCCCCGCCTGGCTCGGCATTAATGGGTACAACAAGGACTGCGTCGGCTTCGAGTCAGTATAATGTGTCTGAGTGGGGTATTCATGCTTCACTGCGCGCATGGTATCTCAGTGGGCTAGCACTATAAAACCAGCTTAAGTCTGGGCTAGTACAAGCAGCCGCACATACACACATACACATTAGCTGCATGCACGTCGTCATATGAGCGTAAATATTCTCGCTAACGCGACGTAAAGCCCAATTTCACCTCACCTCACCTAAAAACTTGACCAATAAACCAACTGCAAAGGGTCAAGTTTGTTTTCAGAAGTCTAAGTGGTAGTGAACATACTTAGTTCTATAGTTCCGCTTGGCTCAAAAGTAGCGATGACTGATAAATTGCAATTTAAAACTCGAAATAAACATAAAATACTCAATGGCTTGCTGATCATAATCAAAAGCATATTATGCACTCTGTGAAGTTTTTTGCAGAATTTTTGTCCTAAAAGTAAAAAGTTGTTTAACAATCCTATCATTAAAATATTGACACGGTTCATATTTTTATTCACGAGGAGTGTAGGTAGAAAGCGGACAACCAGGTGTCTGGCAGAACGGATGGAGACTGCACAGCACAGGTTAATGAATAAATAACTTTGTCTGTGAACGCAAGCTATCTAACAACACCTGCCTGTCCTCTGCACTCCGGCTGTAACAAACAGTGAACTGTGTCAATATCATTAATGATAGATTGTTAAACAACTTTTTATTTTAGGACAAAAATTCTGCAAATTCATCACAGAGTGGGTATGATAAGCTTTTCATTATGATCATTGCCATTGAGTAAGAAGTTTATTAGTTTTCTAGTTAGATTGCAATTCATCGGTCCGTTTTGAGCCAAATGGACTGTAATGTCTGTGAAAATGTACACACAACAGTAATGACAAGGCAGTTTGGTAATGATATTTTCTGTTTTCCAAACATCTGTACATGTCAGGGATGAGTGTTCCATGGATTTGGTCAACAATCACTTTTTGTGATATGTGCCAATATAAGAACAAATAATTCAAATAGTCCCTCAGAATCCACTATCTAACTTACAGAGTATTTTGACAAATATATCCTCATCCATGTAATAGTACACAAAATATAATGCAAAGTTTTGGTCTTAATAGGATTGTTTACAGATTACTTACATATTGGTTGATTGGGCGCATTGAAGCTTGGGGCCCTTAATATGGTAAATATTGCATCTTGTTGAGATCAGTCAGTCTTGCACATCTGGTTGACACATGTCATTGAATCTCAATTAAGTAGATTGATGCTCATGCTGTTCCTCACTTTGTTGTCTGGTCCAGACTCCTCAAGATTATTTACAGACCGCCGCCATATAGCTGGAATATTGCAGTGCAGTGTTCATCAAACAAACAAACCAACAAAACAAAGCGAATACTGCTGGTTGAGATCTCTGGGAAAAGTACAAACATCTGCATGATTTTAGGTGAGGAGCCTGGAGCAGTCAGCAGCGAGGACACTGCAGGACACACTGATCTCACTGGCCGAGACTTTCCCTCATCAACTCCATTGATGCTATAGTGGTTCCATCTGTAGTACAGGAATTAGGTGGGTGGATTTCTAGATGTACTGGATGATGCACAGCCTATGCTCAACACCATTCTTATTCTGTAATGGCGTCCCTATAAATAATCATGACTAGACGGACAGACAAGTTGTGGAAACATGACCAGTCATCCATGAACATGGCTATAATAACACCCGAGTTGGCCTAATCACTGAGCGAACCATGCTAAACTCTTGATCATCTTTTTGATGGCCTATTACTGGGAACCTATTCATCAGTAAATCCCCAAGGAGCATTTCAGGGACACATGGTCGTGCAGTCCATGCAAAAATCCCACTGTAAAGTTACTTGTGCCAGCTGTCCACTCTGATGTAACTGAAGAGTTCTTAAAGCATATGTCAAGACAAATCAAGTGGTATGCAGATGCCCAGAGGTGGAGAATTGACTCCCATTTTAGAAGTGGTCCATAATGTATATTTCTATGAAAAGTATACTTGGAATAATCCAAATGTTTTATCTACAAGATCTGCATTACTGTTGCTTTTTGTCCCTTCGCAACTTGGGACTATGTATTCAGCGGTGTCCATCCGTCCGTCTGTATGTCCAGATTCTTGTTAACGCTGATATCTGATGAACTGTTGTACCCATTGTCTTCAAATTTGGTGACAGCCTACATTGGGGATTTCGCAGACACCAGTCGATTTGGGTGACCTTGACCTTATTTTCAAGGTCACCACGACACTGACCACTTTTCAAAACTCCTGTTAAAGCGATATCTCATGAAACATTGTACCCAATATCATCAAATTTGGTGACAGCCTTCATTGGGGGATTCGCAGACACCAGTCGATTTGGGTGACCTTGACCTTAATTTCAAGGGTCACCACGACACTTTGACCACTTTTCAAACTCTTGTTAAGCGTGATGATATCTCATGAACTGTTGTACCCAATGTCTTTAAATTTGGTGACAGCCTACATTGGGGATTACGCAGACACCAGTCGATTTGGGTGACCTTGACTATAATTTCAAAGGTCACCACGACACTTTGACCACTTTTCAAACTCTTGTTAGCAGATATCTCATGAACTGTTGTACCCAATGTCTTAAAATTTGGTGACAGTTTACATTTGGAGTATTGCACAGACACCAGTTTATTTGGGTGACCCTGACCTTATCTTCAAGGTCACCACGATACTTTGACCTCTTTTAAAGGCGATATCTCATAAAACATTGCACCCAATGTTTTCTAAGTATATTGACAGCCTACATTGGGTAATTATGCAGACACCAGTCATTTCAGGCATCTTGTATGTGACCCAAAATGAAAAGTAGTAAATATAGATATTCCATTCTTTAGCGGTAGGAGACATTGCCATATCAGTGGCAAACACACTTGTTCACACTTAAAAGTATCTGGGCGCTGAGGGTAGCCTAGTGGCTAAGGTGTTAGCTCATCACACGAAGACCCTGGTTCGATTCCCTACATGGGTACAATGTGTGAAGCCTATTTCTGGTGTCCCCACGTGATATTGCTGGAATATTGCTAAAAGCAGTGTAAAACCAAACTCACTCACTCACTTCAGAAGTATCTGTTTCCTACTCTGTATCCCAGGTGCAGCCCAGAGTGAGATTCTTTGTCGCCTGTGTAAAGACTCTCTGTTGCCAAGCCATCATGCTTATCTGCTCAGGTAATGCTCTTGTAAAAGGCAGTGCATAACATTCCACATTTGAAATTCCCAACAATATGTGGAAAGAAATGTAAGACTATTGATAGGATGTTTGTAAACATTTATAAATACCTCTGTTTCAAATCTGTTTTCCAAGCTGCTAATGTTTGTATGTCAATAAGTGATGTTGATCAGTTTACGGAAGAAAGCACATTGTAGAATACAATAGATGAAAGTTTTTGAAAATGTTGGCTTGCAGGATGTTTGTCAGACAGACTGTGATGCTTAGTGAGCCTTCACTTACCCTTCTTCATATTTGCTATGGATACCAAGCCTGATTTGGATGATGAAGAAGATTCAACAGCCATGTTGGATTGCTTGTCTCGGTCTGCAAACCAGTTCCATAGTAATCTAAAGTTTGGGGAAACTGCTGTTGAGCTTTGTTAATAAATATGCCAAACAGGTGAATATGAATGTTATTTTCACATCAGAAACCTTCCATATACACTTAAGTTCCAGTATCTTCCGTTTATTAAAACTAATAGTTGATGTAATTATTTTAAAATGAATGCCAACAATGACAAAGAAATTAGTACATTTATACAAATATTACACTTTTTGTGGTTATTGTGATTAGATACTTCCTGTTTAACCAATCAGAATTGAGTAATTTCAAAATTCATGGTATGATTTTGTGATAAATTGGATTATTCAAAGTCAGTATTCCTGTCCAGACTTGATAACCTGTGGTATGACAGCATGAGCAGAAATCCATCATCAAAGCGTTCCCTTCTTGTAGCTCCAACACTTTAAAACAGCACTAAGGTTGTTTTGTGGAACAGACTCAAGTTAGTAATATGGGTCAATGCTCATGATAGATAACAGCCACTTGTTTGCCACGTCCTAGAATGTATGTACATGATGCTGTGACATCCATTTGGGTACTATGACAACATAATCAGCCAGGTATGTTCACCAATGCCTTAATAATATGATATGGAACTTAAATATCACTGCACTTCACGCTCCAGGGACATGCTCATAAACTTTTATGGACATTATTACCGTGATAACCCACGCTGCCTTTGAGGCTTTAGAAGGTTAATAGTCATATTACCTATCCCACTGGGTACCCATTTTCTGCTGGTTGAACAGAGCCAATTTTCAACAAACACACTTGCCTGAGGAGAGACCACATGTGAGCTTCACTGTGGGGCAGGACAGAAGACCTAGGAACTTTCAGGAGTCAAGCTGCCAAACACAAGTATCGTTGTCCATACTTTGAATATTTACTTGCTGTTATGACAAAAGCTAGAGTATTGGTGACCCCATGAGAATTCCTGAAGAGAACAGATCCTCAATAACCTATGCCTTTCATGAGGGCAACCTAAATGAATCAAACATCATTGCACCCCAGCTGCCTTCACTAGCAGGGGTGGAAATAACATTAAAATTGCTAGTGTACACTGGTACAGTGGCATGTAAAATCACTTGCCCTGATAATTTTTCCTCTATACCGCCAATTGTCTTGTTGGATTGTTTAAAATAAACAACATAATTAACATTGGAAAGTCAACTTTCGACATTGGTACAGTGTGATATACAAATTTGCTTGCCCGACTGGAAAAACACTGGACTCGGGCAATGGGTTATTTCCACCCCTGAATAGCATTTTCACAATACCACTCACTCATGTATTTGTAGACAGTCGTGTTTAGCTGGAAGACTCTTGATCGCTGACAGTGGCCTAAACCCACAATATCTCTTCTCGGGTGTAAATGAATGTTCATGACAGTCAGGCACTACATCATGACATTTGTTCTTTTGTTTGCAGTGGACTCCACTGCAAGTAGCAATGATGGGCCATATTTGTGGACATCACAAGACGTTCTTGCAGAAGACCATAAGTTCCACCTTAAAGAGGGCTGACCAGATGACCAACCAATGCTGCAGTGGTCACCTCATTTTGTACACATTTTGAAGACACATAATTGTATCAGAGAAACATCTTCTCATGCTGTGTTTGGTGTCCCTATTATGTGTTACTGAAGTGTATTAAAAGTGGCATAAAAAACAGGGATTACTGACTTATTCTGTTTGTGTTTCAATTTATTATATCACAATAGTACTTTATGACCATTGTTTGTTGGTCATTAGTGTTTGCAACAACCCCATCACTTTTAGTTGGTTTGGTTTGATGTTTTAATACTGCACTCAGCAACATTCCAGCAATGTGCACCCCTCCTTTTGTAAAAATTGAGAGTTTATTAAATGACCATTGAAAAATGGGTGAAAATGAAGTATGCAACAAAAAACAAACCCTCTCAAAAGCTGTATCCACTTACCTCGTTTTACATGTATCTATACATGAATAAAGTGTGTGTGTGTGTGTGTGTGTGTGTGTGTGTGTGTATAAGTGTATTGGTGTACTTTTTATGTCATTGTATACAGTGGAATGTGAATGTGGTTCTTATCGATAGCAAATTTGTTTTATAATAATTTATCAGATACAGATATGGCATAAAAGATCATGAAAGGGTAAATGTGAGATTATAACCAAAAACCAAAGATCTTAGCATCACCACAACGGAAAGTGAGATGTACTCTTCACAAAACAAATTAAGCAACACTTATTTTTTTAGTGTAATATCTTTATCAATCTTGATAGTGATTTTTGCCAACATGTTACTGAAAGGTAAATATTTAAAGAATACATAACCTTTCTTAGTGACTGTCAAATTGGTTTGTCTTATAACATTGACAACATCACCCCAACACAACCACCCTCAGAATCAACAACATGCAAAATGTGTGGCATGAATGTGCCCCACTCTTCACACATGCACCCTTATCGGTGTAAACCTACCTGTAATCATTCCTCTGGTACAAGAAGCGGGTCCAAACTTCATTTTTATGGATGATAATGCCTGTCCATGGATGATAATGCCTTTAGATTAACAACATCACACATATGCACTGGCCTGCAAGGTCACCTGATCTTAATCCCATTGAACATGCTTTGGGGCATTATTGGAAGTCGTTGTTTATGGTCTCCATGTTCACCCCTGACTCTGGATGGCCTTGAGCTGGCGTTACAGAATGGCAGAACATTCCACAACACCAACTTGAAAGGCTCATTTTGGTTAATCACGAAGGCTTGTAGAAGCTTGCATTTGTGCTCAATGTGGTCATACCGCACGTACGGAACACTGCTTACGCACTGTCGAAAAAACGGACTTGAACCTTTAATGTTAACATTTTGCTCCATCAATGCAGCACATTTTGCAATTCGACTGTTTCACGGGTACATACTTTGATGATTTGTAAGTCTGCCATTGCTAAATACCATTTCATTTCATTTTGTTTCGTGTGTACATGTCTCACTCTGTCTATTACATCATTCCATGATTTGCAATTTCAATAAATGAAAATGTAATGAGACTTAAAATTGTGTTGCTTTAACTTTTTGTGAGGGAGTATATTTATACATTGTACATGTTCATTATAAACATGGAAGACATTCTGGGAACATTTGCTCCCCATGATGGCATCTGAGGCTTAAGATAATTGACACAGTGTCATTGTGTCCAGTGGTGTGGACCGTGCTTCATACTGGAACTTTGCCTGCCTTTCTCAAGACTCAGTAATAATAGAGTGCAGTGATTAAGCTGAAGTATTGTCAACTGTGATATTTTATGTGATATTCACTTAGCACATTTTGGGCGTACTTTTCACCTTTTACGTAGCACTGAAGGGACGTTAAGCAATATTTACTCACTGACTCGAACGCTAATTCCTTCTGAATCTTAAAGAGGGGCACTACGGTGGAGGCAGAACACCTGCTCGCTGTATTAGTTAACATAACTGTCAAGGACCCATGTAGCCGGATTACTGTGTTGCCCGGACGGAATTGTAAAGAGCGTACCTACTGGAAGCTAGTCCATTTTTCATTTGCTGAATTGGTTTTATAAATGAATGCATTGCTTATGAAAATAATACAATCTCTTATATATATTTGTATTACAAACAAAACTTGAACCTTGGCAAAATCATGGTAAATTTTGTGTGTGGGGAATAGCTGAAAAACAGTGATCGTAAAGACGTCCTGTACAATATTATAGTTTGTGTGTTGTTTAACGCTGTACTCAGCAATATTCCAGTTATATGACGGCGGCCTGTAAAAATCAAGTCTGGAACCTGAAAGCCAGTGACTGACATCATGAGCATGGATCTAAAAGAAGCATCAATCAAGTCAGCGAGCTTGCCCACCCGATCCGTCCCTTACCTCCAAAATCCACACAAACCACTCGCAAAATGTTTCTCAAGCAATTGCCACCCAGCAAGGAAGAATGAAACCACTTCCACTGTCTAATGTCTGGGTTGTTGGTGAGGCACCGAAAACACTTATGTGAGACATAAAAATAGCCTGAGAGAACCTAGTTCCAGCAAAGTGCAGTTTTCGCAGTTAATCGAACAGCAATTAACCGAGCTGTAGTTTTAAAACAAAATGAACCCATCTCTAATCAATCTTGGTTTAATGAATGGTGATAGAAATGCCACCAACCCGTCCTAATAAGTCGGACTGAAATGGGAACAGAGTCATAAAGTTTCATATTTGTAATAAATCAAATCATCAACGCCATCGGGATCCGAGTCACAGCCCGAGTTCTCCTCCCCGACGGCTGCTACTTTCTGGAGCTTGGGGTGTATTTCGTTTTGTCTGTTTTACGACCACACTGACTAATATTCCAGCTGTATGACAACTTGTAAATTATCAGGTTTGTTTATATGTGTAGGGTGTACTGGAAATCCAGTAAAATCACCAAAGCAACACAAGCCGCACACATTCTGTTTTTAGTCAATCAGGAAACATGAGTCCGTTAATGGGCGTGGCATTATTGTTTTAGGTTTCAGGAAACAGTCTCAAAATTTAATGTTTGGTTAGCCAATGTACTGCTATAGAAGTAATTGCAAATTTATTCATAAATAGAGATAGAACGTTGGTATCAGGTCGTCCTATTCTATTACATCTAAACTATGTTAGTTTCTGAAGAGTTCCAGTCAGATATTGTTCTAAAGACAAACAATATTTGTGTAAATGTATGATTTAGTACCATTTTAATGTTACTCAGTTCATTATACCACCAACAACGGTTATAGGTTATTATAAACTGAATAACAGAATTAATTTCATAATCAGTGTTATGTTGTTATGTGTTACCTTCTAAAGGAAAGTTTTCAAGCACATTAGAATTACCACCCTTTTACGATGCTTGGGAGACATGCCACCTGTAATTCCCACGAGGACGTCATAACAAGCTGCTGTTTTATCACCCCTCTGACAAGAAGCCAAGAATAAAGATCTGCTACAGCTCATTAAGTACGTAAATATTGTGCAATGGTTGTTTGGCAATGATGCACATTTACTTCCTTGTTTTTGTAATTAATAATGTATTTTTTTGCTGAATCCCTGTTACAGGTGGGGCAAAGGCCAGGGAATTTCTTGTGCCCTTTTGAAGAAAAACCCAACACAATGAAGGATTCATACATACCAAAATGAATAGTGATAATAAGCTGCTGGTGTCAAAGCACACATGCATTTTAGAAAGTAAAGCTTAGATTGAATGTTTTCACAACTTTCACTCGTACATTCACACTTGACCAAGAAATATGGCAGATATATCAGCCATTATAATATAACATTATAAAGATTGACGTGGATGGACTTTTTGTAGTGAAAAGAAAAGATTCTGTAATCTGAAATCAGTTAACTGGAGTCTTGAAGAGTGGACATCCACTGTGAATAAAATGTATTTTTTCATTAATCAGAAAAGATTATTTTTGTATCGTATATCTATTTATTAATTCATATCGGAAATTCTTGAGAGACATATTCATCTTTTTTAAATTTGCCGCCGTGATATTGCTGGAATATGGCTAAAATCGGCGTAAAATCATTCTCACTCACTTTTTAAATTTGCATTTATAAGTCTTTTCACTTGTTAAACAGTACGGACAGTACGGTCACTTTGACTCAAGTAGTTTTCAATTCACTTGCAAAACGTCACGCGTTGTAAATGTACTCGAGTATAGGCCTGACAGCTATCTTCCCCTTGTCGACTATAAATCGGCGTGTTGGCAGGCAAAGAGTCCTTCGGCTTGGTTTTACTTCGGTTGGTACATAAACGTTCAGTGTGCTTATCTTGCAAATGACAACACACTATAACTGGTAATACATTCTTAGGTTGTCGCGATTCAGCCCCTGGATCATTCCGAGTGTAAGCTGTAACCACCTTGATGTCAAGACATATCAACTTTACGACAGGAAAGGAACGTTGTACACAAACCACATACACACAGGCTTCATAGATTGCAATTATGAGCCTTTTTGTTTCCGTTTATATGTCTGTCATGTCATGTCATTTTTAGCAAGGTGAGAATTTCCATCATTGTCTTTATTGCTATAATTACAGTTTTATGTAATACTGAGATTGCATTTGGGGTTATTCATAGTCATATCACCTGTGGCGATAAACGTTTTGAGTTAAAAGACGAAAACCTTAGCACATGTATTGGAAAATACTTTTTCGATCATGGCTGAAATGGCGGCAGTTCATACTCAATCTATATAGATAAGTTCTTGAATCTATTTATTTACATTGTTTAAATAAACCATGGTATTTCAAGGGTTAAATGTGCATTTTCTTGTCAAGGTGACCTGGTATGTATCGATTATGGCTTTATGCGTCCCTGGGATTGATATGGTCCTGTATTAACATTAGTGAACAATATATTACACCACGAAGGATTTGGGCCTGCTGCTCGCACCAACACACTTACAACAAGGACGACTCTATGCGCTGATGAGGTAGGTTATTTGGAGATTTTCTCTTTCTCTCTATTTGTATGTTGGCTTTATGTGTGATATCATATTTATTGATTAGCTTGGAGTGTGCGAGTTTAATTTTATGCCACCTTAAGCACTATTCTAGCACCAGAAGATTTGTTTGAAAACTACAATAGTGTATACATATTCATGTTTTGTAAAAAGGCGTAAATACAAATTATGAGTGATTAAAA